GAACACTGTGTTTCACATGTTGATCATCCTGATGAAGCCTTACGTGGGTCTTGCATAAGCATTGGCTGCAGCAAACCATTTTTATTTTGGATACTTTTTATATGCCTGTTTGTGACCAGAATCAGATATCCCACTGCTGTGCGGCAGATTTGCTTCAATGATGGTTTCAATGATTCATGTCCTGTTGTTTTCTTTGTTATTCTATGATGAGATGTTAACTGAGATTAAGTATACAGTGGACCTGTATTGCAAAATCTTTGCCACTGCTATGCAGCACATAGCCTGAGACTAAACAAAACCAAGGTAGACAGGCCTTTGCTTACTGAGCTGGTGTGACACAAGAGATGCGAAGTGGTTAAGCAAGAATTTTTAGCGAGTCCTTGTCATAGTCTGGAAGGTTGAGGGCTTTTCAGTTTAGTCTTTATGTCTGTTTTGATTTCCCTCCTGTACGAGGTCAAGAGGATTACACACACACATTTTGATTGCTAGGACGTTTTGACTCTGCTCTGCTCAGAATGTGAGGATATTTTAGGCACCCTGACGTAACAAGATGCCAAAGGGTGTCACTGGCCCCCTGTGCCAGGCATTCTCGGGACAACAACAATTTATCTGTTTTCCTGTATAAAAAAGCTTTAGACAATATAGTAATGAGAGATCATTGTGAAGTGATGTAGACTGTTGTGCTGCTGGTTGCATTTCCAAAAGTCTGGTTGTATGTAGTCGGATGCAGTTTAGTAACTATCATTTGTGTCAGGTCCTGAATCTCTAGTTATTGAGTAGGTACATTTACTTAAGTCATCTTTGTTGGATGTAAGGAAATGAAGGATGTCACCTAAGTGGCACAGATTATGTGGCCGGCAGTTGCAGGGGCAGTATGGTTTAGGGTTGTAGCTATTTATAGCCATGCACATGTGCTTTGCTGAGGTCTACAAATAGGTGTCTCAGCAGCTCTATGGCTGTCTGTTTGAATGCTGTGGTGGACTTATGGTCAATGCTAGACAGGGTACACATAGGCCACAAACAGTGTGCACATCTTCGACTTTTACACAAGAGTGGCTTCTGTGTGTAATGGTTTGCAGTGTAGTTTGCTGCCGTTGTTAAAAGAAGCAACTCTCTTCAGTATGCTGTTATACTCTCTACATAATTACAGAAGGCTGCACAGTAAATGTAATTACTACTTAATTACTACCAGTTAAACTTCCTATCATGGTTTGCACTTCTCACGGAGGCTTTAATTGCAAATTTTTTTTAGATAGCACCCAAGGTTTAAATTTCAAGAAGTTAAAATGTAATGTGAGAGAGAGGTGGTTAGTCAGGCTTTCGTGATCCTTCAAACATCAGCCCATTCAAGTCAAAGGCCACAAGCTGTTGGTTTACACATTTGTAAGCTGTTCCCAGACCTCTGTTATGTGAACCATGTAATTACTTGAACTTAAAGTGAGAATATCGAAACAACAAAATGTGCTCGCTATTTCCAAACAATGGTGTTTTCTGTAAAATCATGTACCTTGGCTGTAATTGTCATTACTTTTCACAATTTGGAGGCTTTTTACTGTAAAGCAAAATTCAGAATGAAGTAAACATTTTCTGTTCTATCAGGTGTAATATGATGTGTATGTTATTATTAGAAAATGTTCCCTGGGTATCATACCAGAGCCAAAAAAGTTGGTTACTCACTGTTTAATTTGCACCTCAGCAATTTGCACTTCAGTGACCACATCTGTGCAGGCTTTAGCAAAGACTTATTTTATAGTTTTACTGTGAGATTTTCTCCTCAAACCTGAAAGACTTGAAACTACACATTTCTGGTTAACGGTTATGTGTTTTGTTGTGCTAAACATGCAGTTAATGTCCAGCGTTACTTTCACAGGGTTGTTGTTTTGGCATCAGGGGAAAACTGAATGTGTAATTTGGTGTGGCTGTGTGAAAAATACATTTTGTTGAAACAAACAAATGAGACAAGATAGTGATGCATCTCTTCAGTTATAAATACAATACATGTGTGCATGATCAGCCGTAGTATACTGTACTGTATGTACTGTAGCAGTTGTACATAGCTAAGAAAATCTGATATGTGTGAAGTAGGCAAAGGTGTGAAAGTCCAAGTTGAATAATCACAGAATGTGTTAGATGTGACGTGTAGAAAGACATTGATTCAGCTGATAAAGCTGTATAGCATCAGGAGAATGAGTGTATAATCATATTTGATCTGACATTATGTCATTGATATTGTTACAGGGACAGCGATGGCTTGTGCTGCTCTCATGTTATGACCAAATAATGTGCAACAACTGTTTTAAAGTTGGAGTGAATTTTTATTCAAATAAGATCCTCAAGATGGCACCATACTATTAAACACAACTAGGGAAGCACATGCAGGTACAGAAATGAATTACCTCATAGCTTATTCAAACCTGAGAATGAGATGATAAAAAATGGGTTAGTCTGTTAAAGAGTCTATTAAGCGTGCCTGTTATCAGTAATCTGTGCAATATGTGAAGTACAGTTGCTTACTGCTGACGTCATCTGATAGCTGGTTCAGCTCTTGTCCTTTGCTTCGAGCTGGAGAGTTTCCTGGAATACTTTCTCAGCCAATCTATATTAATGAGTTTCTCATGAGAGGTTTGTATATTATGCAGCAAAGAGCTTAGATACGGGCATTACAGACCAAATTAGTGTCCCACTGCAGGCTGCACTGCTTTATTTCTCAGCTGTGGAGTCACAGGGACGGACACAGTGACACAGCAGTACATCAGTGCTGTGTACTGCTGCATCACACTTTCAATATGAAGACAGATGACTTTCCTTATTTCTAAGGATTCTGTTATGGAGAAATATTTTAGTCAGGCTCCGATGTGAGGGGCCGATATGTGTGTGCTTTCTTAATTTTTTGTCTTGATGTCAGGCCTTGATCTAGATGTGCAGGCCATCATACAAAATAAATGTCAGAACAACCCACTTTTCAATTCTCAGCAGCTTTCACACATGCACTATTTTTAGATGAACTAAATGTAAGAATCTGCACAGAGGACAGTCGCAGGGTTTTTTAGGTACCCCCGTTATCCTGGAAATGCATGTTTCAGGCTTTATGATAATTCAAAAGCCTACGGTATGTTAGAATGACCAATGTCAGCTTTTTTATGCCACAAGCTTCAAATGCATGGAACATAATGTCACTGCGAAATTAAGGCTTATAAGAAGATATTACTTTAGCATAAAATCTTAACATAGATTTTTTGCTTTGCGGAACACCTATATCTTAGGACAGGAGCACTTTAATTATCTATAATTGCCTTATGTAACTAATATACTAACAAATGCCCTAACTCATAACTCATAACCTCTATGAATAATAAAGAAACAAATGTAAAATTCTACTAAATACTCTGAACTGAGCATCTTCCATGGAAAGATTACTCATCCTCTTGGTATTTGTCATGTAGTATCACAAAGGGTGTTGATTGTTAGTTACCTGGATGTGTTCTCATGTTTTTTCTGCTGATGTAAACAGTGTAATGAGTCTTGGCAGCTGCATAATAGAGAGATGATTATCTGGAAACAATTGCACCTTTTAAAATTCAGCCCTCGTGTTTATATTGCTCAGGATGAATTTGATAAGGTATTTGTTTTTAGGAATGTCTGTAAGTTAGTTGGAACTCATCTTGAAACACGTTGACAAGAAGACTTTCTTGCTTTTTCTTTTTTTGTTTTTTTTTGCCAAGCACGGATTTCTTCTGTGGTTTTTCAGTGCTGCTGTTAGATAAACATAAACCGCGTGGAAACTCAAAATACTGAGTAGCCATGGAAAACCTGACGGGACTCGTTCTGGATGCTTGATGAGAAAGGGAGTCTGCCCTAGACACTGGTAGGCAGGCAGGCAAGAAATGAGAGAGACTATTACTGCTTCCTCTGTCGCTTATCCACATGGCATCCGTCTACCTGAACCACGACCGTCTTGACAGCCCTCAGCTTGTGCAGAGGATGAAGTACCTGTTTAAGACCGAGAGGGAGCATAGAGCTCACCTGGTAGCTCTAATGTGCTGCATGGGTCAGTATTCATCTTACTGCTTATTGTGACTTCCTTGAAAGATTAATCATGTCGGTACTTGCTCATTACTTATGGCAAAACTGATTTTGTAATCTGCACTAAGAACTATTAAAGGGAGGAGGTAGTCAGTGTTGTTAGTCCTGTGGTCAAAGTTCAGGAAAATTCTAATCTTCCACACACAGTGTTGTTGTGGAACAAAGGAAGCGGTGCAGTAAATGTGACCTGGCCGGCAGATTCTTGCTAATGTTGTCGATTGTGCATGTGAGTTTTTTGGTATTCACTGAGGACCATTCAGAGGAGTTGTGTCAGACTGGGAGACGTCCAAGCAGAGAAATTAGTCACAGCTTTGGTGATAGAGGACAATCATTTGTCTAGCAATGAAACATACAGTTTGTTCATAATGTTGACGTGAAGTGTAGTTGTTCTTCTTGTATATTATATTACTACTACTAGAAAGGAACTGATTTTATGAAAACACATACAATTCCATGGTCTTTTTAATTGCATCCATTTGCGTACTGCTTTCACTTATGTCACTGGCTGCAGGAAGTCTGGTTGCTATGGAAATGGGAAACAAAAAACATAATGTGGTCAAGAGCACGCAGGAGAGAGTGATGCTATTTCAGCCTCTGGGAAATGATGTGCTTCTTTTTAGCCACCGGGACTTGTGGTCTTCATATGTCCTTTTCTTTTCTACATCCCTTTCATTGAAACTATAAATCCCGAAATAACCTTGCACATTGCCATTGAAGCAAAAGGTTAAGCTACAGAAATGAGCTGCTAAACGCTTTAAAATGTACGTGAGTTACCACTAAACATAATTCAACCTCAACAGGCTTATACAAAGCAGAATTAGGCCTCTCTAATGACAGCCTTTAAAAGAGGTTTGTGTTGCCCAAACACCTCTATGGTGATTGCTTTATAATGTGATTTTTTTTCTTTTCTTCCTCAGATGAAAGAGACAGGGTGCAGAAGAAGACATTTACAAAATGGATAAATCAGCACCTGATGAAGGTAAGAACTAATGTGGGATAATGCTTGCCATGTTTTTCCAACTTTCTGCTATCCTGTTGAATTTCTGTATGTGAAAACAAATCCAAAAATCTCATTCATCTGTGTCCCATGTGTTCATATGGAAACTGTGTCCATAAACACAGAGGGTGAAACCTAATTAATGGTTATAACCCTGACGTTTCTTTTCCACAACAAGCAGTAAGCCATTTTCCCCCTAACATAAACAATCCATTCAAGAAGTATTGGCAATAATAACAATTACCACTCTCCATGTTAGGTCTTAACATGCTAAAATTCCTCCCAGATATTATTAAAGCTTGTTAAAAGTCATTGAGCATGACGCTGCACCAACAGGTTGTCTTTTGTCGACTCAGGAATTTGAATCACTTTTTGTGGCGTTTCATCTGTCTGTAGAATTGAGTGTACACACTTTAGGAGACAGACAAGCACTGGCATGTCTCATTTAATATGCCTTTGTGAAAATGAATCGCTACCTGGGAATCATGTTTAATCATACTTTACAAGGTTCATGCATCAGTGGTACATTAATTATAGCTATCACTAAAAATCACACTCATTACTTTAATGTAAGAACTAAACATGTGGTTAGGTGATATATGAATTAAGGGGAATTCATTCATCCACTTCTTGTTAGTTACATTTTTTCCATGACATAGTATGAGCTGCTTATTGGTACTGATATAGATGCAAGTTGATGCCATGAATTCTGTAAATTGGTTATCATCCAGGGGACCAGTGACTTGCCAGACACAAATTAGCAGCAGTAAATATGGCCTTAGTAACAACAACATTTTAAGACCTAGCCCTTCTGACATATAAATAAAATCAGTGTCCAAATGAGCAACATAAGCAATGATAGAAGTTAAGTTGTCTTTGCATAAGCTGCAAGGAGAGTTCTCAGAAAGTCCCTTCTTACAAGTGCAGAACCATGTGAAAAAAACAACATCAAACAAACAAAAATCTGATATTTCATCTTCAAGTCTATGCAAGTCGATTTTCACACCAAGCTAGGAAATTAATCCAAAACTGATAGTATACTTTGGAACATGAACAGCAGTGGTTTGGAGCATATATGGGTCTCCATGGGTCTCACCAGCAGGTCTGAGTTTTCACTTCATGCAGTGGAGTATCTCAACATCACCTGGATGATTGAGCCAACCTTTTGTATGAACATTTATGGTTCCCAGACGATAAATCCCACAGACTTTAATGATCCTCTGATTTGTTCCACCACGAGGTTGATAGTTGTGTGAAATGTGGTGCACTCGTTTATGTCCCTATCAGGGTGAATTGTAATAATGTAGGTGATCTCCTGACATTTAGCTCAAAGCAAAGCTGTGACTTAGTACTACCTGGCAGCCTTCCTAGTGTGGCGGTGGACTCCAAGGTCCTTCAAGTGCTAACATTGCTAACAAAACTGTATGGCAGCTATACCCTTCTTTTTCAGAAATGCTACTTAAGTGCTGTTGTGTTAACCGACTTATATTATAACAAGACTAGTGGGCCAATGTTTCCCCCCCTAGCATGTTTTATGTATTGTTTTACTCCTGAGGGTGTTTTTTGATCGTCATCTTGAAAAAAAGTGGTAAATTTAAGGTTCCTGCCAATAAGATCAATCCTTGCTTGATAGGGATGGGGCTCCCCGTGGATCAGTGGTGATGGCTGGTTTCATGATCATTTGCTTGGGTCTAGCCATGTGCCAACCATTGTCTTCTCTGACCACAACCCCCTGGTGTTCTTGACTCGAATGCAAAATAGCAACCAGCGTCTCATGCGCTGGTCCCTATTACTGCAGGACTTTAATATTGAGGTTCGTTACAAAAAGGGTTTAGACAATGTTATGGCTGATGCTCTCTCTAGGTCTCATTGAATCAAACCTTTTTCTTAAGAGGAAAATGTTTGATCTTGGGTGGGGAGGTGTTATGACCCTGGAGTCATATTTTGTTGTTTGTTTATCTCTCCTGGCACTGTCAGCTGTTCTCCTCCATTAGAGTGTGTGTGTGAGTGTATGCAGGTACTGGAGAACAGGTGGACACACTGGATTGGTCTGGTTGAGCTGATTGGAGCCTCCTGATTGGGCACCTGGATGGCAGCAGCCATCTTAAGCCCTACTGACAGGAACTCTCCCCCTCTCTCTGCCATTCCCAACCTGCCTGAGGACTGTGTGTTATGTCTGTGTTTATTGTACATAGTGAACGGTTGTGACTATATTCAAATTAGATTGTAAGTAGTTTATCGTAGTCCTTCTGATTGTCTTATGACAACCTGGTTTTGTTGGCTTTGCCATTTTTGTTGCTATGAAGCAATTTCCTTTGTCGTAGCTATATTGTGTCAGCTACTAGCAGTCTGGCTAAATTTACACAGTGCTGTGGGTACGATTCACCCTAGCCTGATTGACTGGTTGCCATGGTAACGCCTTGTCAATCATAGATAATCCTGCCCTGAAGAATACTCTGCTTTATGGTCTATTTTCCTCTAAATGGGACCAAATGGGACCTTCAGTACAAAATGAACATCATGTTGTATTGAAGGAGACTTGAAACTAGCGGCTGAGACCATAAACTCATTATGAAAGTGTTCACTGAGTTAATAAATCAGCTGAGAAGTAGGGTAATTTTACCATTATTTCTATTGGAACCGGACTTCTTTTTGCAACCAGAAGAGTCGCCCCTTGCTGGCCGTTCAATAGAATGCAGGTTTAAGGGAATTCCACGTTCGCATTAGATCGCTGACCAGAAGCTTCCGGCTTGCTCTGTACTGTGAACCTGTTAAATTTGAGTTAATGGTTTAGTTAGAACATTTGCATTTTATTTATTTATAATCAATGATTGATTGATTGATTGAATGACATAGCTTATTAGCTTATCATAAGGTCTTTTGCCACCGGATTTACACATGGTCCATGAGAAATCAGAGGTGCTGAGTAATAGTTGGGGATCTGTTTACCCAATAGCATAAGGGTGCAGGACTATTTTGGCTCCACAGCTGTGGCTGCTGTCTGGGATTACAGTGCTGAAAGCCCTGTGTGAAAGCAGGTCATCTGGGTGATTTCAGAGGCGCGGTATTTAGGACAGGAAGGAGAGGTGGACCTGCTGGGAGGACCGGCGTTGTAAAGTGCCTCGCTCAAGTGCTTAGATAAGTTGTCACAATGATGTCCTGCTCAAGCAAGAGTGTTTTATGCTGCATTCATTTCAGTCTGGAGGAAAACAAAACAAAAACAATGTTGCTGTGACATGTGAACTAAAACAGGTTTTTTCTAAAGCTGTGCTTAAACTGCAACTGAATGCCAGGTTGATTTAATGGTATAACAAACATTAAAAGCAACAGCTGTGTTTTAGTTATGACGGTTGTAAGAACTTGGTAAACCTCCATGGTTCCTGGTATAATCCTTCCAGGGCTGTTCTTTAGAAATTGAGACTATTACGGTTCAATAACTTTGGTCAGAGTTAAAAAAACAACACAAGTTGCGTAACTAGATTAGGAACAGTCAGCAATGAACAGGTGTATGAAAACAACATGATATTTGCTCATATTTTGCTTTCGTCTTCATGTCTGTAGGTACGGAAGCATATAAATGACCTATATGAAGACTTACGAGATGGACATAACCTGATCTCCCTGCTGGAGGTTTTGTCTGGGGATACATTGGTGAGTTAACGTTTTCCAGTCATCTTGTTTTCATGGCCAGTAAAGAGAAACCCATTGTACTGATATCTTGGTTATCTTGAAATCCCAAGACAGCAATAAGGAAACTGAGAAACTTATTCCTCTTATCTATCAGACCTTTGCATGACTGACTCACTTGCTCTTCCTCCTTCTTACTTATGGAACTGATGGTAGGAGGGTATCCTGGGATTTGATGGTCTGCAATCAGATCTTCTGTTGCTCCAAACTCCACTCATTTTTTTATGAATTGCATGGAGGTTTCAAATACCTCAAAGGTTTTTTTCTGTTTTTGTTTAATTTTTCCTTATCCATTCTGGGATATCTACAGTTGACACTGACTGAGGTGCTCATCATTTTGATTAGTTGTGCTGTGCTATTAGATGTCATTTATATGAAATCGGTGGTACAATATGCCTTGCTTTACATACACATTTGTTTTTTTGGATACAGTCAGGGATGGGGTGCTTTGTGCTACAGGAGTAGTGCTCATGTAGCAACATACTTGAGTCAGATATTAAATATGGTGATTACCCACAAAAAGTCTTTCAGTCAACAAAATGTAAACAAATCAAAGAAAAGATAGCAAATGGGGAAAACTAGTTCTCTTCATAGCCAATAACCCGTCATTAACAAACTTAAACTTGCTAACTAGCCTTTATAATGCACTAAGGCTACTTTTATTCTTTATTTGGATAACCATTTGCTTCCACAACCCATCACAAAAAAACAGTATATACTATTTTTGCACAAAAGAAGTATAGTGTATTATTCAAAATTACATTTTGCATAAACAACAGATGTAATTTTTTACCTTCCAACATAACCAACAAACCAACATAGCTGTTTACCAATGTTTCCAGTGTTTACGCAAAGTTAAGCTATCTGGCTACAGGCATCAGCTTTACCATAGTCTGTATGAGAAAGTGGTCTCAATCTTCTCTTCTAACTCTCGGCAAGAAAAGCATACTCCCAAAATGCCGAACCATTGCTTTAAATTTCCAGATATAGGAGATGGAATCAAAGTTTTTTATATTTTTTCAGATTATTAAAAAAATCATACAAAGCAGTCTAAAATGATTATAATACAAAGCATGTATGCAGCACGCTTTAATGTAAGACAAGATTTTGATTTAGCCTCCACAGTTAGCCAGGAGAAGTGTTTATGCATCAAAGTTGTATTAAGATGTTTCTCAGCAGGGCTTGACCAAATGACTGGGCGGTATCTAAGTGTGACAGAATGAGTAACCGAACATCAATCATAACAGAAAACCTTACATATGCAGAAAGTTTCTTTGAAACTGCAATGCCGTTTTCCATCACGGAACCAACGTAATCAATCTGATCAGACCAAGTAAATTATCTAATTGAACACCCAGCTTGGTCTTATTGAGAATTCCCTTTTCCAAATACTAAGTCTAAGAGGACAAACATTTTTGCACCTGACATATAGCCAACCAAAAACCGTGGCATTGGATCTATAAAACTGCATTGTGATCAAGTAATATTACAGTCGGGAGCAGTGTTTCTTTTTTAGCATTGGAAGCTGTGCTGTTATGGTGGTTAAAACACAGCTGGCGTGATCACTGGAACGGCTATATAATCAATCTCCACACTGTCAAAACTTGGAATGACCAAGAAATTAATTAGAAGTTGATTGTTTCCAGGTGTGGAACATTTTTTGAGATGCTAAGTGGCCTTCACAGATATGAACGTGTACATTTACCATGTTAATCCAGGTGCCCAATGGGGTACTTTTCCAGCTGTTCAACGAAAAGTTAAAATATGGATTGAGGAAATTGTGCTACATATTATAAAATGGTCGAAATTTATTTGTGAAAATGTACAAAGAAGCTAAATTGAAAGTCAGTTTTTATATAATAGAGAAATACAGGAATAATAACTTATTGATGGACCACATTTTTTTTGCAAATTGTAATGGAAAACATCCCGGTTTAAATGGAGTTAGTCTGTAATATAATTCTTATCATGTGTTATTTTAACCAAAAGTAGGGAACGGTCATGATTTTCAGTCTTCGTTTGTGTTTAAGTTCTATCTGTATCCGTGTGTAATCCTCCACATATAGAGCACAGCGCTGCACAGTGTATGAAGCTGTAGTAAGACAGTGGCTACTGACATGCTGCATGTTACCCAGCAGGATATTTGCAGTACTATTTAATTTCTCTGTTAACATGTCATTCTTTCATCTTATATTGAAGTATGTTGATATAGTCTTTGTGCAGTCCTGAGTTCCATAATGTTATCATGCTGTAATGTCCCTTACTGTATTAAAACTGCATGTATTCCTGTGCCAGGAGCCCCAGCAGTTACTCCCTCTCTAGTGTGACTAACTTTCATCCTCTAAGTAGCTATCTATTTTCTGTTTACATCCTGTTTCCCTTCTACTTTCCTCCTCCTCTGTTCTTCACTCTTTAATTGGTTTCTGTCCATTGTCTAACTTCCTTTGATTTGGCTGCCATGTGTGCCCATGTCTTCCTTTTCTTCCCCATGTGTTGCCTTTTCGGTGATAAGCCAAGGGAGCGTGATTTTCTGAAGACATTGCGGTTGGTGAGTGGGACAGAAGCATGCGCAGTTGAGCAGCATGGAGACACGGTGGATGATGATAAGGGGGTACGTGTGGCTTGCCCCCCCCACCCCCACCCCCACCCAGCCCCTGTTAACAAACTAATTCAGAGCGTGTTGGCCAGTTAACAGGATTGTAGAAACGATCCCACTGTATGATTTGTCTTTTTGTAGTCTTAAATAATTGCTTTAGCAGATATTTTAGTTCTTCTGTATGCTTATAGAGTATTGATTCTCCTTTTCCCATTTAGCTTAATTTGTGATTTCTATGCAACATTATGTTTCATAATGCCACTTCTTTTGACCAGGAAGTATTTTCCAAATCTTTCTTTATGTGACCAGATGACACTGATGATGCAGAGAAATGGGAACATGAGATAAAGACCCAAGCATCTTCATGCTCAAATCTTCTATTTGAACATACATGTGAGACAAAAATGACACAAACCAGTACGTTTGGCTCACTGACCTTGCAAAAGGATTAGAAAAGATGCAATTCATTATAAAGGAATTTGCCATAAAGCTTGGGTCCTTATATACATTTCACTAGCTTTGCCCATCATTGAGCCATACAATCAAAGTGCTCCCAGCCTACGTGAGCATCAGGACATTTTTCATCTGCTGCTTCAGGGTACTCTGTTATTTTGAAGCCTTGAGAGGGCTTCATAAGTTAATGAGAGTCACTGTTTGAAAGCCGTGGTGGGATGGGTTTATTAAATGTTGTTTGCATTTGAGATCATCGGGATTCTTCTCTCAGCTATTATCAGCTAAGAAATATGGCTGAACGCAGCACACGTCTTTTGCTGCTGCTGCATCCTGGCTTCAACGCATTTTCCATTTCATTACCTCATGCTGTGGCCTCTGACTGTCCATGTGCAATCGCCACAAGAGATTGGAGACTTGCCTGCATAATGCAGCTATTATTATATTATTATATATTATGTACATTTAGTGTCTACAGCACAGCGAACCGAATGTATTAATGTGTTTTATGTACACTTTAGCTGCCAGAGTGTGCTAACTAGCAGGGTTACTTGGTTTGTTAAGGGAAAATTTCTAGAGATGCAAATGGTGGAAAATGTTCTGTATATGCACAGATTTTTAGCAGGCCTGCGGAAATGGCTAATCTTGCTGTGGGTAGAGTTTTTTTGTGTGTTCTTTACCTCACCAGATCAGCGGGTAAGATCCTGGAAGCATGTCCTGGTTCCCCCATGCTACTAATCATTTTTTGAATTTGTCCTCTGATGTTGAGAATAACCTGATTACCATGCGTGGCCCCTCTGCCCTCTTTATGTCCACAGCCTCGGGAGAGAGGAAGGATGCGCTTCCACAGACTCCAGAATGTACAAATAGCACTGGATTACTTAAAGAGGCGGCAGGTAGGGATCAATCCAAGTACATTCTCAAACTCTTGTCCCACGTATGATTGAGGACTGGAATACATTTGAGTCAACACAATAGTCAGTCATAAACCTAAACCAGTTTAGACGGCGAGATAAGCTCCTGAAAACAAGCCTGCAGTCAGAGTTAAGATAAAAAACCATCATGTGATGTAAAGGCAAAAACACATTTCTCTGCCTTTCCTGTCCCCTTGTGGATTCATAGCAGAATACAACTGAAACTCCATATAATTAATTGGGAATTTTCACGCTTTCACACAGGATAGCAAATTATATAAAAGGTTACAGCTGAACAGCACATGTAAATGTATCAGTTCATGTGTGTAACTACATTGTATTTTGGGAGTTGCATCATATTTGTTTGCTCAGGCAGACAAAGAAGGCAAAGCAAGGCAAAGGCCTCAGTGGTGATTACTTAGACACTGCTTGTTCTCCAGCATCACACACCATTGGGCTCCTGCTGTTTTCCATCTGTCTTTATGAAATTTACGTTTCAGTTGCCACAAATCGTAATAGCAGCATTTAGGTAGCAACTGACTCCAAATCCCATCACTGGGGCTTCAAGGAGCTTTGATTACGCTCCTCTCCCCTCCCCCAACCACAGCCAGGATGTGATGAAGAACACAGCCTGGTCGAACCGTAGCCAGATGTGATGTAAGACTTGAGACAAAGGATTCATAGATGGTCACAGATGAGTTGTTCTATTGTTTTAGCCACAGTACATACCAGACGCATCCATGCGTCCTCTGAAGTCATTAAATGTACAGAATCTAACTGTTTAAACATCCTTAAATCTCCCCCTGCATCATATTGATTACAGTTATTACAGATGATCACGCTGGCGCTGGAGGAGTAAATGAACTGCTCCTGGAGTATAGCTACATTACAACAAGAATGTGTTTAGACTCCTGCTTAATGAGCTATGTTCTTTTTTTGTGAAATCATTAAATACACTTTATTTTTCACTGTGATATGTGATAGATAAAACAGTCCTAGCAGGTTTATAGCATTTATCTCAGACCCACCACATCAGTAGGCAAGTCAGTCAGCATTCCCTGACATAAAATAATGACTATTGTGCCACCTTGTGGTGCTTGTTATATGAAAGGCATGTGAGTCACGTGAATGTACTTGATTAATACACCAAATAAATGTGAATGGCATCATTTAAAAAGTGTAAGAGCTGGGTTTGAACACTTAGAGATATTGTAAATTTGCAATATGTTAATCATGTGTTTCCTGTCATCAGGTCAAACTTGTAAATATCAGGAATGACGACATCACAGATGGTAACCCAAAACTGACCCTGGGATTAATCTGGACCATAATTCTGCACTTTCAGGTCAGTGTTTTCATCTTATTGTGTGGTGATTCTTACGCTTTTAATGGCCAAGACGATTTATTACCCAGATACTGGATTACTTACTTTCAATTCCTTGTATTACAATTTAACTGCTGAGTAAACACTGATATGGGCTGTTCATTTTAAACTTGTAAAGATGCAGGGGATTTTCGACAGTGTCACCTTTGTATTTCTACAGTTTAAAGATATTTCCGTACAACAGAAATGTTTGCATGCTTTGGGATTGAGTTACGTAATAGCGTGTTAAATGCCCTTCAGATTAATGCTTTTTAAATGGGTTCACACCCACTCACCAAGTGGATGTTTCTACTTTTGACCACAAGGTGTCAAAGCTGTGCAGCAAACTTCCTGCTGAATGTTGTAATTGCTGTCAGATCACAGTTTAATATATGGTGGTACTGTTACCTGGTTCACTTCAGTTCATGTTTGTTTCAGCTGGAGTTGCACACAGTTGTAACAAGTCTATGTTTGAAATACAGGGGGAGCTGGCTTGAATCAGTAAAACGAAGCTTTTGCGTGTGGTTACACTTGCAAAAAGCTGTAATGGGTTTGTATGCTCTAGGCTGAGTTTATGTTTCTCCCTGAATGTTCTCAGAAATGTTCTCTCTGGAAATACTTGTCATTTTATTGCTGGAGTGACACAAATCACGTCAAGTGGAATGGTCTGTGTGTGCATGCCAGGACTATCCAGGTGTCCACCAAAGTATTTACAGTATCTATCCAAAATGGAACAGCTTGCAGAAACGTCATTCTTTAATGACTCACTTACTTTTGCATCGAATTATTAATCTCTTTTGCACACGCCATGTGGCTCAGTTGTTGGTTACGGACATGAATAATGCAATAGTCTTTCAGACTGCAGCTTTGATTGTGATTGGTGGGAGTAAGTTATATTATTTTAAGAACAAGAAGTTGTCTGTGACTAATGTCCTCAATAAAATAATACTGGTGGTGGGGGGTATAGCAGCTAATATAATTTTGCCTGGACTCAAACACGTTGACAGGTAGCGTCTGTGATGATGCCAACACCTGCTGCTGTCAGTCTCACGCAAGCCCTTGAGCAGTTGATCCAGCACTGGGCCTGTTTCTTCTTGATTTATTATTGAGGATAGGCACTTGTGGAGAAAATGTTGCGCTTTGCTCACAGTATTCACCTTTGGCTTATATAAACCCGGCTGACAGCAGATTGTCCAAAGGACAGGGTTTGTTTTGGAGATATACTGTACATACTTTTTTGTTGCTGCAGGCTACTCTTTAATTTAACTAAACGGAGAGTGCTGTTACACACCTCAGTTCTCTACCTCATAGCTGCTTTACTGTTTCACTGTTTTGTTAAGGTGTAGCAGACATGTTTGATCATGTCTGTATAGATAAGAAGTTGATATCATTACACAAAGCTGCCACAACTGTATTCCTCACAATGGTTTTCACCTGGGACATGGTGTTGGGGGACCAGTAGAGTGTAATGTTTACTTTAGTAGAGGCTAGCTGGTGCCACTGCACTGCCATGACAATGCATTGTTGTCAGGTGGTTCTATCCTTTTATTTGTCTCATCTGTCTCATGTCTATCTCATTCATTCGCTGTTATTAAAACAAAAAAAGTACTGGGTAAGGCTATATAATTCATATTAAATGCTATATAACAGGTACAAACATAATCTTCTACTGTAGTAATACCACTATTTGATAGTTTGACCCTAAGCTCTGTAGCAGTCAGAGTAATCAGTACACTGGAGTTTGAACTGTGTTGACTTTGACCTTCAGGGAAACTTCACTGGCGTTCAGATATTGCAAACTCACAGTGGCACACTGTTATTTTTAGTTCAGCTCTGTGGTGACATTATATTTACTCTTTCACGCACTCTTTTTGCCATGTAATTAAAGTATTGAGAGATTCCTCTACAGTGGGCTTGTGCCACTCTTTGTCAGCCAATGTTATTTTATAGTTGTTGCAATGTTTTTAGATGGTGAATCACTTCCTGGTCAGAGCATTTGCCCCCTTGTGAACTGCAGCGGTGGTGATCTGTTCAGATAATAGTGTTTGTTTAAACCATTGGACTCAGTCCCCACCTCTGGCTCTGCTTTTGTACGTAGCTTGATTAATAGACAAAGTGAAAGCACTTTGTTGTCCAGCACGGATTTGCCTCTGCTTCTGCTGCTCTCGTTGACCTATGCTGTTCTTTTTTTCAAAGCCTTTCTGGCCGGCTGGGACTCATAGCCAAACTTGCTGAGCCAAAGTTTCTCACAGCATAATGGGTGGCCATCAGCAGGCATCCACTTACAGTTTAAACCTTGTCCTCCCTTCACCTGTCATTATAGACACAAATATTAGGAAACCTAAGAGCCTAACTTGCTGAGCCAAAGCTGTGACGTGCACATGTTTACTGTATAGACGAAGCAGACTAACCGGCCTGTAACAGGTCTGTCCGCGAGTCTCTTTCATTCTTGCCCAGCTGAGAGCAACAAGCACGTGAGCCACGTCTGTGTGTGCATTTATGGTGTTTGATCTGGATTAGTAAAGCCAGGGAAATGTTTCAAAGGTCAGAAAGGATTCCAGTGCCAGAGAAGAGACTGAGGAGAGAGCACAGGAGCAAGAGAGCAATGCAGTGACAGAGACAGAGAGAGCAAAGGGAGAGAGAGTTTCTTAGAATCAATGAAAGCTAAAAGTCAACTCTGCTCTGAGTAGAGTAAGTTTTATGTCTGGCTGCGGGATTGTCTGTCAGAGCTTATTGTGTGCTAGCTGCACAGTGTGAAAATGGCTTTCTGTCAATGGGAGAGTGGCTCTTCAGATCAAGCAGAGCTCACTGGATACTTTGCCTGAAAACAGCTCGCCCTTGGAAGTTCATCTCTGTCAATGGGTAAGAGACTATATGACTTTCAGCCATGGGAAACATCTGTGGCTGTGTTAGAAGTCCTAAAGAGGAATGCTATGTTGACCCCAAGAAAGCTCCACTGAACCCTGAATCTAAAGAGCTGAAAGGTCGCCGCTATTTTCAGAGGAAGAAGAGGAAATCACAGGACTTTAAGCCTGTTGGATCTCTCGGGGGTCCTGTAAGTGAGGCTATTACAAATAAGGTCATCTGCAGTGGTGCAGAGCCTCATGATGGCCCAGATGGCAACACAAAGGAGTCCCAAGCAGAGCTGGATGAACCATCACAGGTGGAGAAACATCTATCCAGGCAAGAAAGCATCAGCAGAGGTGTCTATGTTGGAGAGGTACCAGTTTTGATCCTCCGAGATCCCTGTAATCAACCCCTTGGCAAGAGGTTACCTTACAGGTTGGGACGGTTTTCTATGGAGCAGACAGCGGGTGACAGGAGCAAGTCCTCTGTAGAAGGAAAGCTTCGTTGTATTAACACAGCTTCCAGAGGTGCCTCAGCTAAGGACGGTCTTCTTGTGAAGAAGCTGCTACAACGCCAGTTAAGGAGGGCTGTTAGCTTTGGAGCAGTGGAGCACATGCTATGGACTCTGAGGGGTAATGACAGGCCTGGGAGTGAGGAAACGTTTGCCAAGATCATATGGGGCTCTCAAGCACACAGGAGGAGGAGACGGAGGGCCTACACCTGCTCTGGTTACGTAGAACGGCTTCCAGCTCCTGCCAAATGTATTTCCACCCAACACGAGGTAAACTGAGAACGTGTTATTTATAGCTATTACGGGTGTGATTCATGATTAATAAGGGGTTTGATCAGGGAATAATGTAACTTCAACTTTGCAAGGCTGGTTTTAAATCATGGAAGTTAAGCACTATGCTGAAAATATGCTAAAATAAAGCAGTTCTTTAGAGCAAAGCCAGTTCATTTTGTTAACCAGATTATCTTATTAGATCATTTTATACCCCATCAGCGTGTTTCATTGTTTGTAGAGCATTATGTCATCATTGTGGTGGCTTTTTTGTCTTTAGATTATGTTAAATGTAAAGGCTGCCTAATCAGATTTACCTGAATCTAGTGTTAAAATGCTGCTCATCTGTATGTAGAGAATGGGAACAGTATGTTGACATACATGTTTTTTTAAAAGCCTAATCAATAGTTGACCAAATAAATTATACTAATATTCCCATGTATAATGGAAAAGTGACTCTTTTGATGAAAAATTAGTAGGTAACTTGTAACTTGGATTTAAGAGCTTACTGTAAGATATATCAATCAATTTTGGAGTGATAGCAGGCTCTCATCCTGTGTTTTTAGCTTTAATGGTGGTGTTTGGTTTCATTGAGTACATTCAGAACACAAATGATGTCTTAATTAATGATCTCGCTAAAACAGCTGACTGTGTTTGATTTGATAGTGATTATAGTGGGTCAATCAGTGGCTGACGTGTGTGAAAGTGAACGGTAACTCTAAAGTCCACTGGCTCCCTGTAGGGTTGCTGTTTGTACACTTATGGCTGCCAGAGTCTTGATGAAAATCGTCACATTACAAAATCTGCTGATGATACAGTGACTGTTGGTCTTTCACACGGGGTGAGCAGGGTTGTGGTTCTTTAGTTAAAGACTTAACTTGGTGCCAACAGACATTCCTTGATTTTTATATTTACAAAACAAAGCACATCGTTCCAACATCAGCTGTTATAAAGTGCTCTGAAATCACCCTGGTAGATAATCACATATATCTTGGAACAGTTATTGACAGCAGTGTTGTGAATCTAATGATAACTTTGTTTGTGAGATGACATGATGACCCTGTTTTATTGCAGTCTTGTTGAATGTGTTTCATCCTTATTCTCCGTGGTGTAGTATTAAAACCTCAGCATGTCCAGTAGAAACAGACTAAACAGTCTTGTGTTTGTCTATGTCTGTGAAGGTTCTCAGTCATCCAGGTCATAGTTATCCAAGGAAGGTTAAAATGAAGGGCAACTCCAAGATACTGTGTCTCCAAGATGTTTGTGTCCAGTAAAATTCAGCTCTTTGACATTTATACTCAGTGTGTTCTTAAGAAGGCTGTGAAGAAGTGGCATTGGTCCTGTTAAACTGCACTGTAGAAATGTTAGAAGTTATACTGTTTGTACAGGCTGCTCTCTATTTTTCTTCTTCAGGATGGTGTTATTTGTGATGGTGTTAATCTTTTTGTGTTTTTTTTAAACTGAAGGTTGATTCATCTTGGGAAATCTATTCTGCTTCTTTATTTTAATTCAAACCATGTTGTGACCTAACAGTTTCTGTGGTATGGAAAATGGAAACAGACTGTAACAGATGTATTCCATGTGCCTTCAGAGCCATTTCTGTCATACAAGATGTGTTACAGGAAAAGAAAATCTACAAAGGCTTGAATCAATATTATTGAATGTGGTGTGAACTGTGGATAGAAGCTCTTGTTCAGATGTCATAAACCCAGCGTGCCAACCACACTGTTTGTTTGAGGTCATCTTTAATCTCAGTATACCATGTTGTAAAACTAATTGGTAATGTAATACACAGCTCGGTCTCACGCTGAACAGAACTGTTAATGAACTAGATGAGGAAACTCCCATTTACACTTAATTCATATTAGTCAAATATGAAATGAAATATATATTTCCTGTGTTTCCTCTTTTTTTCTCTGTACAATAAATATGATCTTTGTGAAGCTTAAAAAGTTCAGACTGTTTTGGGACACATAAGTTGTGGATTTAATACAGTAGTATCTTTAGGGCTGTGGTTTATGGTGCTGTTGCATTTGATTGCATTCCACTAAGGAGTTATTACTCCCACTAAATAATGGTGAAGTATTAATCTAAAGTTATTACACAAATGTGTGAATTAGATTTTCTGTGTCTCCCAGCCACTGCACATCTAATGTCAGTGCATTTTGTATTTTATATGTTGTATTTCTCTTTGTGACAGATCTCGGAGATCCACGTGACAGGGGAGTCCGAGGACATGACAGCCAAGGAGAGGCTGCTGCTCTGGTCCAAGCAGATAACAGAGGGCTATGTTGGCGTACGATGTGATAACTTCACAACATCCTGGAGGGATGGCCGGCTATTTAACGCCATCATTCATAAATACAGGTACCGTAACACAGAGGGAACAGCAGGGTTTTTTGCACAAAAGTAAATCTATGTAATGCATATACTGAATTTAGTTGTCTTCTGTCTTCTTTCTTTGAGTTGTGTGTCTTGCCTTACTGGCTCTCTTTCTCTCTGTTGCAGGCCAGACATGGTTGACATGAGCCGTGTGTCGACACAGACCAACCGATCAAATTTAGAGCACGCGTTTTGTTTAGCTGAACAGCTGGGGGTGGCCAGGCTGCTGGACCCAGAGGGTGAGATCCATATATACTGTTATGTTTGGTTTAACTCAGGAAAAAAAAAACCTATGACACCGTTGTGCTATAAATCATGTGGAGTGAAGCTTGGATTTTGGCTTGACGTATAATTCCTCCGAGTACAGCTCGTTTTCATGTATTGCATTTTTGACCTTTTTCCTTCCCTCACCAGACGTAGACGTTCAGTCCCCTGATGAAAAATCAGTCATCACATACGTCTCAACACTGTATGATGCCTTCCCCAAAGTACCCGATGGTGTTGATGGAATCAGTCCTAATGTAAGTTGATGGCATCGGTCCACCAGTAACTCAACCCAATCCAAGTGCTGAAAAGTGCATTATTGCTAATGAGCCTTTTTCTCTGAACAGGATGTTGATATCAAATGGGTGGAGTACCAGAACATGATCAAATACCTCAGCCAGTGGATCAAACACAACGTGGCCATAATGTCAGATAGATCATTCCCCAACAATCCAGTGGAACTCAAGGTACTGAACATTTTAACCGTGATTATTAGCTTTATTAAGTTGAGCTTCAGCTGTCTCATTTAACAGAGTGCTTAGAATCTTTATATAGAGTCAGTTAGGTGAAGGGTAAGTGTCCACGTGCAGCGTCTATCTGCTGTAACAGAGACTTAAAGTGATCCTGATGGATATGAGAAAGGAGCAGCGTCCATTTGCTGCAAGTAGTTGATAGCTTTTAACAGTGAAGGCACTTTAATGCTGTAGTTTTAGACAACGGGAGAGTATGAACAAATTCTTAGAGACCTTTCTCCTGGTTAATATCTGTTCTGATGCTTAGTGGGACAAGTGTGGAAAAAAAGTAAACTTTTTTATTGTAACCTTTGCTTCCTTTTACAGGCACTTTATACACAGTATCTGCAGTTCAAAGAACATGAAATCCCGCTGAAAGAGAACGAGAAGACGAAAATCAAGAACCTCTATAAAATGCTTGAGGTATACAAATGTAAAACAGAAGAGCATGTTGCTCTGATGACAAATTACGTTGTTAGTAGTCGTGCACACTGTAGTGACAACAGGTCTGTGTTTGTGATGTATTTGACAGATGTGGATCGAGTTTGGACGCATTCAGTTACCCCAGGGTCATCACCCTAATGATGTGGAGAAGGAATGGGGTAAATTAATTGTTGCCATGCTGGAAAGAGAGAAGAGCCTGAGGCCTGAGGTGGAACGGTATGTGCAGGCACTTTGAACATATTAATACTTTGTCTTGCTTGGCTCAACATTATGGGATTTATCTTTATAGTCTTTATAACCTAATATTACAGGTTACTCCTCAGCCAAAAGCCATCATTACAGTATTTAAGAGATACATAGCTGGTGTTTGATATGACCAAATGTGTGACTATTTGAGGAAAAATACAGTGATTTGAAGCAAGACGTATTATGGCCATGTGCTGCTTTCATAATTGAAAAGTTTTTCATACAGTATATTGATAAAAGAGCAAATATGCTACATGAGTCAGCATAATATTTTCTGAGGTTGGTGTAGGTGGAGTGCTCCAGCGTCATATTGCAAGCTCACTAATGTCTGTACTGAAACCTAACACTGAGGGCCAGTGTTTATGTCAGAGTTTGATTTGCTTTATTAAAGTAGAAACCCCCTGACTGAGCCGTTGCACATTATCAGTATATTCCTGACCTGCTGTACACAGTATTTCTTGATCAGATCAGTCTGCATATGATACGTATGAGTTTTGTTCCGCTTGACCAAGTGATTGAGTGATCCCCCTCACAAAAAAAGCAGCAAACAAATGAATCTTGTGTAATAAAATAGTGAGAAAAATGGGGTATTTTTATGTTCTGTAATTCAGGAACTAAATCATCACTGATCTACTATCTAGGTACTTTAAAATGGCACACAAATATGTAAATTATGTGTCACAGCATGCTTCAGTCAAGGTATGTTCTGATATATTATACTGTGACTACTTTCTTATGGCAAGCTCAGTCAGGTTTTTGAGCTTTATCTGTTTCCATCAGTGTTTGTTTGAGTAGATCTTATTTCTGTGGAAATTCAAACGTCATGTTTTGAACCTCTGTTGACAATGGTTTAGACAAGTTTATATCCCCATTCTTGCCTCCATGGTCTGCAAGCGCAGCATATTTACAGCATTAATGTTGGGTGTGGTGAAAACTGGCAGAAACAGCAATTACAGCAGTATGCTTTATACAGTCTCAGCTCGTATGAAGGTGTGCTGTCTCAACCTGCTATTCATTTTCATCCCCTAAGGGCAGCACATTATTTTAGGGTGGGATTCATTTTACAAGTTCCTTACCTGCCTGTGGGGCTATAAATATGAGTTGCGAGTTGAAAGCGGCTCCATCCGTCTGCGAATGCGTTGTAGTCTTACTGTCCATTTTAGGTCGAGGCTGAAGGGGATCCTCTCAGAGGGATGAGAAATGTAACAGGGCCGGCAGTAGTTTACCATGTAAAGTAAGATGGCCTATTTGAGCGGGATATCGTCTGTTAGCAACAGCAGCTTCACCAGTTTTGGCTCCTATGACACCGTCCATACAGAACCTTTACAAATTAACAGCTCATTCTTCCTCAATAACAGCATTGCATATGGATCCAGGTGAGGTTGCAGTGTCCTTGGTTTTGGGAGGACTTTTTTTTGTTTTTATTAAAGTGATAACAACTGCGAACTGACAACTTAATCCATTTGTTTTTTGTAGGCTTGAAACGTTGCAGCAGATTGCCAACCGGGTCCAGCGGGACTGTGTTAACGGAGAGGACAAGCTGGCATTGGCAGGAACTGCCCTGCAGTCTGTAAGTTTTTGTGCAATCTGTGTTTGGCTTAATATTATTTGTGATAAAATATTCTTTATCTTGACTTTTGAATCTCTTATTTTCCCCTCTGCTAAGGATGCAAAACGTCTTGAGTCTGGTATTCAGTTCCAACATGAAGCTGAGATTGCCAGCTACCTTTTCGAGTGTGAGAATATCATCAGACAACAAGTGGTGGACATCCAAATTCTTCTGGATGGAAAATTCCCCTTTGCAGATCAACTTGTCCAAAGGTACAAAGTATATCCTCATATTATATCCTCGTGAAAAAAGATCCCACTGACATTTCTCCTACATTAAGACATATGTATACATATATTTATTGTCCCTTTTATGAATACAGGGTATCAAAACTGCGAGATGACCTCCTATCCCTGAGAGCCGAGTTTTCTTCTGTGTACAGCAAAAGCCGCACCCTGACAACAGAGGAAACCAAAATGATGATCTCAGGCATCACACAAAGCCTGAACCCTGGCTTCTCACAGAACATCAGCACAAGCCTGACACCAGCCCTTACTCCAGCACTCACCCCAGGGGGGTTAGGCACCCCTGGGTCCACATTCACATCCAGCCTTACACCGTGCCTGACCCCGTCCGTGACCCCTGCCTTGACCCCCGGTCTGCAGCCAGCTTCAGTCCAGAGCTACATGGGGAGTGGTGGCGGCATGGACCCAGGCAGCCTCAGGCATTTGAAACACATGCAGATCCGCAAGCCCTTAATGAAATCCTCACTGGCAGACTCCAACATGACAGAAGAGGAGGTCAACATGAAATTTGTTCAGGACCTCCTGTACTGGGTGGAAGAGATGCAGGTGAGTAGTCACCGTTAGTGTGTTTATAATAGAGGTTTAATTGTACACACTTAAAAACAAGATGCTGAATTTTTTTTTTCTGTTTTAAAGTTGCAGCTGGATCGTTCAGAGTGGGGATCTGATTTGCCAAGTGTGGAAATGCATTTAGAGAACCACAAAACTGTACATAGAGCCATTGAAGAATTTCAGATGAGTCTTAAAGATGCCAAACTGAGTGAGGTAAGCATTTTGGAGTTTCTCTCTGTTTTGTTAACAATCCTATATAATCTGTAACCTAAATGTTGATCGGAAATGGTGCTGCAGCCTGCCCTAACTCCACTCTCTGAGCTAGATTGTGGTGTCTTTGCAGAGGAAACTAAACCAAAGTGTATTTTTCATTTCTCAGATTCAGATGAACATGCCCCTGAAACTAACTTATTCAGACAAACTGAACAAACTAGAAAAGCAGTATGAAACGCTATTGGTAAGTGATCTGTTGGGCTGAACAGCCATAATCTAAAATGTGTGCTGCTATTAATGCTTTAAACTATTTATGTGCTTGTAGTCTCACTTTATGAATGCCCGTTCTTTTCAGAGCTGTTCAAGAGAGCGGCAAAGCCACCTGGAAAGCCTGCATGACTTTGTGTCACAGGCGACTCAGGAGCTCATCTGGCTGAACGAGAAGGAGGAAGAGGAGGTTGCCTTCGACTGGAGTGATCGCAACAGCAACATCTCGAAGAAAAGAGACTACCATGCTGTAAGTCATTTGCAAGTCTTTCTTCACACAGGCTTTTAATTAACTAAAACTTAATCTGTGAAATCTTTGGGTGCAGACAGAAGAACAAGGGCTTGTTCAGACTGTTATTTTGGTTCTGTTGGTTTGGCTGCATTACAGCTGCATTCATTTAACAAAACAATAAGGTCAGTTAAGGGATTCGTGTATTTTGGCCTGAATGATGAACTCCATATGTGTAAGAGGATGGTGCGACTGGTCTTTGCCATGTCCAGATGCCAGAGATACTGAGCTTACTGTCTTTATACAGGACCTGATGAGGGAGCTGGATGAAAAGGAGGAAGTGATCAAGTCTGTGCAGGACAAGGCAGAGCGCCTAATGCTCAAGAACCACCCAGCCAGGCTCACTATTGAAGTAAGCCCTTTTTCAGTATACTCAGAATGACAATAAGATTGCAGATTTTTGAAGCAGTAGCATCTCCACCCTGCACACGGTTCCCACAATGTTTAAGATATTGTAATTTTACACCTATTACACCCAGATATTGTGTATTTTTATATCGGAGTTGCTTCTCTTCCAGGCATACAGAGCTGCCATGCAGACGCAGTGGAGCTGGATTTTACAGCTCTGCTCATGTGTAGAACAGCATCTCAAGGAGAATGTTGTGTATTTTGAGGTGAGCCTCTTTTTCCAGTCATTACAGCAAAGAGCATTTGTTTGTTCCACCTAATTTCTTACTCTATTCCCCTCTGCAGTTTTTCAGTGATGCTAAAGAGTCCATGGACTACCTTAAGAGCCTGCAAGATGCCATTCAAAGAAAATACAGCTGTGATCGAACAAGCAGCCTACACAGACTGGAGGACCTAATTCAGGAGTCCATGGTAAATTGATGCGGAAGATATGACGTGTGTGTGCATGTGGAGGTAGTTGCAAATAATTATAAATTATTAATAAAAAAAAATCTGTACGTGTGTCCCTAGGATGAGAAAGAGCAGCTTCTTCAGTACCGCAGCACTGTAGCTGGGTTAGTGGGCAGGGCAAAGAATATCGTGCAGCTCAGGCCCAGGAACCCTGAAAGCCCTGTGAGATCCTCCATCCCTGTTAAAGCCATCTGCGATTATCGTCAGATAGAGGTATACAGTGGTTCTTTACGCAATATTACATTACATTTAATTAATCAAATCCATTTATTTCGAACTTTTATAGTAAATCTGTGCTGTGTGTATATCACAACTCTTTCAGATTACCATTTATAAAGATGATGAGTGCGTATTGGCCAATAACTCTCACCGGGCCAAGTGGAAAATCATCAACCCATCAGGGAATGAGGCCATGGTGCCCTCTGTCTGTTTCACTGTGCCTCCACCCAACAAAGAGGCTGTTGATATGGCTACAAAGTGAGATTCTAGGATTCATTTCGTGTCTTTTACTTCAAAATAAAGTTTATTCTCTCTAGTTCAGATGGCTGTTACTGAACACCTAAGCTCTGGTGACCTGACTTTGATGGGATGAATTATTTATGTCTTTCCCTGCAGAACTGAGCAGTTATACCAGAATGTCCTGGCACTGTGGCACCACTCCCACATCAACATGAAGAGTGTGGTGTCTTGGCATTATCTAATGGCTGATATACGAGCCATCCGCAACTGGAATGTGGCCTCAGTACGTTCAAATTATTATGTTTTCCTTTTTAGATCACACTTTTCTCCACCAGTCGATGATCATTTATGATGATCAGGCTCCGTTTTCGATGATCATTCTAAGAACAAAGTACTTGTTTATCTTATTTCCACTTTAATTTCTCTGACCACTGCAGATAAAGACCATGTTACCAGGTGAGCATCAGCAGGTCTTGAGCAATCTGCAGTCCCACTTGGACGAGTTCTTGGAAGACAGCGAAGAATCCGAGGTGTTCACAGTGGCAGACTGTGCCCAGCTAGAGAGAGACGTTGCGGCCTGCAAGGAGTACTACCAGGAACTGCTCAGATCTGCAGAAAGAGGCAAGGCTCACATTCCCTCCCTGTCCCTCCCAGCAAGGAGCGCTGGTGTACATTGAACACATGAGGGAAACGCATGGCTCTAAAGCCTTTTAAGCCTTTTGGAATGATGTTTTTTTATAACTGAATTAAGAGGAGGAGAGGAGAAGAGAGATGGTTGGCTTTGCTGTGAATGAAACGCAAACACTGGAATGTTGTTAATTTGCTGTTATGAGTTTTGGTGGGATATCTACAGAAAAAAAAAATCAGAAAACATGTTGTTTTATGTTGTAATGTTACATAGGTCTGTGTAGATTAACTTCAATACACGTGTACACACGGCCATTTACATATATGCCCTCTCCCCTTTTCTAAAGTTCTCACCTTATTAAAACCATTGTCATAATTTGTGTATGACTTCACATTAGCAGTACAAAGTGCCATTAATTTAGGTGGGTGTACTTGGCCTTATTCTGTGATAATGATGCCACCTAGAGGTGCGCTGGCGTGCTGTCAGTTAATGTGAGACGATGTTTAACATGCCCTTTGTTTTATTGTGTGGTATTGCTCATCAAATAGTTGGGATTTTCAAATGGAAGCAAACTTTTACATTGGCTGTTTTTCAAAAATTGCAACAAAACTGTCACCGTTTGAAACTCAAACCTATTTTATGCTCTTTATAATTAATTTTACTAATTATATTTTTTCTTGTAAACAGAGGAACACGAGGAGTCGGTGTACAATCATTACATCTCAGAAATACGCAACTTCCGGATGCATCTGGAGGCCCATGAAGAACACCTGATCAGGCAACTCCGCACACCGCTGGAGAGAGACGACCTGGAGCAGAGTCTGCAGCGCATCACTGAACATGAGGTACACATCATGGTATCAATAATCATTTAATATACTCACAAACTTACAACTTAGTGTTGATTTTTTAATCACGCTTTCCTACATGCCACTTTGCAGAAGAAGACAGCGGAGCTGAACAAATTGAAGGAGGACCTTGACGCTATGAAGGAGAAATGTGAGCTGTTCCTCAGGCAGGCTGCAGGTTCTCCATCTGTGCCAACGCTTTCCTCTGAACTCACTGTCCTCGTTCAGAACATGAGCCAAGTGTACTCCATGTCTTCCATTTATATGGACAAGTAAGTCCTTCTTTATGTAGAAGTACATAAAGAAGTTGTTTTTATGTCATTTATGTCCTGCTGGCATTTAGATATTTTACTATATATATATATATTTGCATTAAAAGTACCTGAATTGAAGACATGCTCCCTTTGTTTTGCAGACTGAAAACAGTGAGCTTAGTGGTGAAGCACAGCCAGAGTGCAGAGGGGCTCGTTAAGGCCTACGAATCCAAACTCTACGAGGAAGATGCTATGAACTCTGATGTCAAGTCCATTGAGACTGTCATATCAACACTTAAGGTAATACTCTATTGGATTCACCATTTCACCAACACTGGCAACCCTTTTAGTTCACTTTGAGTAACCATTCCGTCTTCTGATTATAGCAATGGCGGACAGAGATCGATGAGAAGCAGGAGGTGTTCCATGACATGGAGGATGAGCTGCAGAAAGCACGAGTCATCAGTGACCGCATGTTTAAGGCACATAACGAACGTGACTTTGACCTCGACTGGCACAAGGAGAAAGCTGATCAGCTGAGTGAGAGATGGCAGAACATTCACTCGCAGATCGATGGCAGGTTAGTGTTAGTAACCTCTCATAGGATATTGTTTTGTTATTGACAGGTCTTATTAGCTAATTGACGTTAACCATTCAATTGCAGGCTTCGGGACTTGGAAGGTATCAACAAATCTCTGAAACACTACAGAGACTCCTACAGTAGTCTTGATGAATGGGTCAGAGAAATGGAAGCGGCACAGCTAAAGGCCCAAGAAAACAAACCCGAAGACAGCAAGGCACTGGCTGAGCTGTTGAACAAACAGAAGGTAGGACAAGAATCCAATTCTTAACAATAAGATAAAGACAGTGTGTATATTTGGATGGATATATATTTAACCTGTCTGTGTTTTTCAGGTCCTTGTTGCTGAAATTGAACAAAAACAGAACAGAATTGACGAGTGTCAGAAGTACTCAGAGCAGTACTCTTCTGCCATTAAGGTAAATCAATTATTTCAGTTTGTTTTTGACAAACACCTTTTTCATTTTGCTTGGACAAAAAACTTTGATAAACATCCTCATGGTGTGTCTGACATATGAAATTAGCATTTTGGGTCATTTCCATTCCATTGTAGTTGAGAAAGAAACAACCTTGTAAATGTAACACGTAAGTCTCTCTTTAGGATTATGAACTTCAGCTGATGACGTTCAGAGCGATGGTTGACTCCCAACACAAATCCCCTCTCAAGAAACGGAGGATGCAGAGCTCTTCTGATGCCATTCAGCAGGAGGTAAAGCTATGACTTTCTTGGGACAGACATTTGTGCCATATCTACAGTACACCTCAATAACATACTTGTTTTTGTTTGTTTAATTTCACACAGTTTATGGATCTCCGAACCCGCTACACTGCTCTTGTGACTCTCATGACACAGTATGTGAAGTTTGCCAGTGAAACACTGAAGAGAACTGAAGACGAGGAGGTGAGAGATCCATATGTTAATACTTCCTGGCTTTCTACATATACAGTGGCTTATGCAGTGCATTTTAGACTTTTGGGGCTTTGTGTATGCTTAACCTTATAATGCCAGTTTAGCTTTACCTTCTTATCTTTGCATGACACCTAGATCTGCTGTTTTGCATCAACATGTTTCACTGCCTCACTGAGTGATCTGTAAAATAATTACAAAAACACCTATGTGTTTTTACTCTTTATCATCCCGTGTTCTTGACTTCATCAGAGGGTTGCGTCTCTTTATATGTTCAGCTCTTATTGAGTGAAGATATTTGCTTCAATGTGCAAAAGAAGTAAAGAAATGCAGATATGCGGTGCATGTTTGCATGTGCAGTAAGTCCGTGTTTCTGGTGACGGTGAGCTTTTTTATTCTTTGACAGAAAGTCTCTCTCATAGTGGCCTTTCTGTGGGACAATAAAGCCTCTCCAGGAGTTTGTGTACTATTTTCCAAATATTGGTACTGAGAAGTATTCTCAGACCTATTTGAGAGTTACAAGTTGGGAATCAGAGGAAAAAGGGGCAGTGATCAAATCAGTGACAATAATATTAAATACATCTAAGATCTTGTTGTTAAATGTGGTGAATGTTAGCATTTTTAAACCTCCACAGTATAATAACCAATAAAATCATGCAGTATTATAATAGCAAATTCCTGGAGAGATTGTTTAATATTGCTGCAGCACTCTGGTAAGAAGTAAAATATTCATGCAGTTAATTTTATAATTTATCATTCAACATGAAACAGTGGATGACTTATTTTTTTGCCTTGTAGAACAGAAAGGCTTTTGACAGAGCACAGAAAGCAAAAAGGAAAGAGAGCATGGAGCTCCAAAAAGCTGCAGGGGAAGTAGAGATTAGACAACTTAAGCAGCGGGTCCAGGAGCAGGAGGCTTTGCTGGTTGAAAAACAAGCACAGCTGGAAACGCTGGAAGGAAAAGTAGAAACACAACAGAAGACAATCAGGGATCTAACCTTTCAGAAATCACAGCTTGAGCATGACGTTCATCAGTATTGTACCAAGTTAGAAATAGCAGTAAAGGACAAAGCTACCAGTGAGCAGGAATTAAGTCACACAAAACTGTTAATTGAGCAGTCAGAGGCCAAGTGGTCTTTAACTCAGAAGAAACTAGAGGACCTCTTAAAGACAACAAATAATGGCCAAGATCTTAAGAAACAGAGTCCCAAACTTCAGAGAAAGATTAATGAAAGTGATCTGGCTCAGCAGCCTTTGGCATTTGAAAGTCAGTTGGCAGTTAACAATGTGCCCGAGTCATCTTCAGTTCGAGAAAATGGCAGCATGATGGTGGATGTTCTGCAGCAGAAACAAGATGAACTAGTTATGGTCCAAAAAAGAGCAGAAATGGCTGAGGAGAAAGCACAGAGTTATAAAAAGCTGTTGGATGACAGCAATAACAGACTGAAGAAACTTCAGATGGAGATGGAAACTGAAAGGATCAATATGAGACAGAAATCAGATGATCTCCAGCAGGAAGTGCTGACCATGAAGAAATCCATCAATGACCTTCAAGAGGAAATAAGATCTCTCCAAAGAGCAAAGTCCTCATTGGAACAAAACACCTTTTTCCAAAGCACTGAAGTAGAAGGCCTTAAAGAGCAGCTGAAGATCACCCAAGGAGAACTACATAAGAAAATCTGTATGGAGCAGGAAAATATTTACAAGATTAACAACTTAGAAGAAGAGGTAGTTTCCAAGCAGGCAGTAGTAGATCAGCTGAAGTTTAAATGCAATGAGCTGACAAGGAATAATGTCTCATGTGACAGTGATATTAGAGGTCTACAGATCCAAATAGAGTCACTGGAAAAAGAGAGATCATTTTCTGAACAAAAGATCAAGTCTTTAAAGAGGGAGATAGAGAGCTGGAAACAGCAGCTTCAAACTGCTAAGGAAGAAAACAACTTAATGAAGAGGTCTGAGCAGGCGTCACAGCTCAAATGCAAAAACCTTGACGCAGAACTTCAAAAAAGTGAATTAGTTGCTTCTCAATTGCAGAAAAATGTAGCTGAGTTAAAACAGATAAATATGGAAATGGAAAAGAATCTGAAGAATGTAAGAGCTAAACTTGATCAGGTGACGATGGAAATTGAAAGCAAGGAACAGCAAATCAAAATATTTAAGTCTCAGGCAGAGGGCACCAAATCACAGGTTAGAATTATTGAGGAGGAGCTGAATAAGAAATCCCAGACCTCCCATGAGCTTCAGATGAAACTGCAGGATTACTGTGAGGAGGTGAGGAAAATGACTGAGCTGGAGCAGAAAATCAAAACACTCAATTCAAATATTGCCAGTTATGAGAAAGAAATAACAACTCTGAAATCAGAGCTGAAGTCAGCGTTTGCTGAGAAGAATTCTGCAAATCAAAAGATCCACATACAAAATGCAGAAATTAATGATTTGAACCTGGTGCTCAAGGAAAAAAATGCTGAACTGCAAAAACTATCCGCTGAGAGTCAAAAACATCTCAATAAAGTCAAAGCATTAGACGACGAGCTTTTCAAACATAAGCACAATATTAAAGGGCTAACTAGCAACTCAGAGAAAATGACAGAAAACCTAAAGCAGGAGATGTATGCTCTTCAAAATGAAAAGAGAGACGCAGACAGGAAAGTAGAGAACTTGAATGTTAAACTTTCAGAGTTGAGCTCTTCCCTACAAAGAACTAAAGATGAATTGTTGAAAGAGACCAAAGAAAGACAAGTCAATGAATCAAAAATATTGCAGCTGGAGACTGAGCTTGAGAAAAATAAAGTGACAATCAAAGAAGTAATGTTGAGTTCTGACAAATCCAGATCAAATCTGCAACATGAAAATGTGATCCTTAAGCGGGAGAAAGCTGAGGCACTAGAGAAAAGCATCTCGCTGGGATCTGAAGTCAGAATGATGAAAGAAAAGCTGCAGCGTGCCCAAACAGAAGCCGAACAAAAGCAAAAAGAAAACTCTGTCCTTCATCTGAGGTCCCAGCAGATGGAAGAACAACTTGAGAAGTGCAAGAAAATGCTAGACGAATTGAAGAGTAAACTAGAACTTCAGAAAGAGGGCTATGAGAGGCAGTTGTTGCTAGTGCAGACTGAAATAGAGAAAAAACTAATTGTACTTCAATCAGAAATCTCAGGTGACAGTGAGAAGTCAAAACAGCAGCCACATAGTGCAGAATTAGCCGAGATGCTTAACAAGTATTTCAGACAAGACATCAAACAGGTAAAAACAGTGCATCAAACCACTGTGGTAACAAATCAACAAACGGACCAACAGCTGCAACTGCAGATCAAAATAGATAAACTGCAGCAAGAAAGAACACAGCTCGGACATGACCTCTCAAAGGCAAACTCACAAATTGCCCAACTTGAGGAAGACAAACTTAAACTCAACTCAAAAGTAAGCTCTTTGCAAATCCTTTGCAATGAACAGTCAAATGCATCAGCTAAGTTTAAACAGCTGTTGGCAGATAGTGAGCGCCAACTGACACTGAAGGACAAAGAAGCAAGATCTCTTCAGGAACAAATAGAGTCGTGTGTCAAAGAGGTTAAAAGTCTTCAGGAAATGCTCGGGGTATACATGAAGACTGAAAAGCAGAGGATAAACAAACAGGAAGTAACTGAAACCAGTCATCACTATGTGAAAGACAACGAGGCTGCTTTGTTGAAGACGGAACATACAGTGCTGCAGAAGAGGGTGCTCTCTTATGAAAGTGCAAAATACAAGCTGGAGGACCAGAATCTCAAAATGAAAGTGTCCTCAGAGGTATGGATGAAGATAGTTCAGGATTACTGCAAGACAGTATCATATTTATTAGCAAACAGTATATTTAAATGTAATACACTTTTACTAATTGATGCTTTTTTAGAATTATTTATTATAAACTATTTAGAAACTGTAGTTATATGTAACTGTAGTCTTCTGTAACTTAAAAGATCTTCCAATGTCACATCTACAGATGGCAGCGATGGAGAAAGAAAACATTCTTGAAGGAATTAAACAAGCCAAACAAGATACGATGGAAGTCTTTCAAAGCCAAATCCTTCATGATTCACCAACAAACAAAACTTTCAATAGCTCTACTATATATCAAACTCAAACTCTCCTACAAAAAGTACAAAATGTGACCTATAAGAGCCAAATCAAACCTGATGAGCCCATGACTGTGACAACACTTGGATACATGGCTCTGTGTGGACTAACCGACCAACGGCCAAGTGAAACTGTAAACAAGGGAAGAGAAGAAGGCGGTTCCCAAAAGCTCCCAGAATTCAAGGGCAGCACAAGTATTCAAAACGTAATCAAATTTAAGCTCTTGGATGAAGAGGTTTTGGTCTTCGGCAAACCAAATTCTGTTGCTGGAGTTTATGTGGAGTCAAGTAAGAAAAAGATTTCCTTCCTAGAAGCTGCTGAGAAGGGCTTCTTAGCAAAGACGTACGCTGTTGAGTTCCTGGAGGCTCAGGCTGCAACAGGAAGCCTTACAGATCTGGCCACAGGTCAAACACACTCAGTTGCTGAAGCTCTGGAGAGAGGTATTATAGAGACAGGCCTGAAAGACAAACTGATAGAGGCTCAGAAAGCTGTTAGCGGCTACATCCATGCTGGCAAAAAGCTGTCTGTGTTTCAGGCCATGGAGGAAAGGATTCTCGACAGATACAAAGGCAAGAGGATCCTTGAGGTTCAGGTAGCCACTGGAGGACTGATCAATCCAGAGAGCGGTGTCAGGGTGCCGGCTAGTATTGCTGTTGATCAGGGTCTTTTGAACAAGGAGACACTACAGAGTCTGTATGATCCAGTCAGTAACCCCAAAGGTTTCCACAACCCTGACAATGGGCAGAAAGCATACTACTCTGAAATACTGAAGACATGCCTTTATGACATCGACGGCGGAGTATTTCTCTTCCCGTTTGGTGAGAGACATCTAACAAACACCTCTCCCACAAGTTCTCATAGAGTGTCTGTTGTCATCAGCAGCTGTGGCTTCGAAATGTCAGCGTATGAAGCATTCAAGGGGGGACATATCGACAAGAGGATGTATCTGTTTCTGTCACAGCAGGAGAGCGAATGGGAGCAAAAGTCCATAGTTGACGCCAGTGGAAGCCCACTTAACATCATTACTGATATCAAAAGTGGCCGACAACTTTGTCTAGAGTCCGCTCTAAGTCAGAGGTTTCTTGAAACATCGGAGCTTGAAAGCTATCGCAGTGGGCATCTTAGTATCTATGAGATTGCGGACATCATATTTTCAAGAATGGTTGTTGTGGAAGATGTCAACAGCCCCATTGCTGGTCTGTGGGATGTCACTCTGGGGAAGCGGCTGTCAGTTCTTCAGGGTTTTCAACAGGGCTTTATTGATAGAGCCACTGCCTTAAGGCTGTTAGAAGCCCAGGCCTGCACTGGAGGTATTTATGATCCCTCCTCAGGGGAGAAGGCGACTCTCTCGGAGGCTCTCAAAAGAGGTCTTTTAGATGAGGCTTCGAATCAGCAGCTCCAACAGTTTGAGCAGGCATTTCATGGCATCGTTCACCCCAAGACTTCAAAGACTTTGTCTATTTCCCAGGCTGTACAGGAAAACCTCTTGCCAAAAGATGTCGGTTTTCGCTGTATCGAATTCCAGCTCCTGACTGGAGGATTGGTAAACCCTGACACTCACGATAGAGTCTCACTTGAAGAAGTTATTCAGAGCGGCCTTGTTGACAAAGTCACTGCAGGTATACTCAAAGATGAGAAATTCCAAACCAAAAGCCTTACCTGTCCAAAGACCAAGAGAAGAATCACGTTCAGGGAGGCTATTGAAAGAAGTGTCTATGACTGCCACACAGGGTTAAGGTTACTGGAGGCTACAAGAATTTATGGATATGGAGCCAAATCAACATTTCATTATGTTTGGGCGTATAAGCAATAAACATTTTTAATTATATGCTTGTCCATAGCATAGAAGCAAAACCTGCACATAGGATTTCCATGGGTTTTGTGTTTGTATGAGGTTACCTTGACTTTACTGTTTTAATGTTCTTTTTTTGGTTTATACACATGTTTTAATACAGCGGTTGATGCAACTGACAATGATTCCTGAGCTTTGGTGTTTTTAGTAGATTATAAATGTGTATCGGCAATGCCGCTCCCTGTTTGTTGTTTATTTTATGTAACAAAGTTAACAATCTTGTCAAAAACCCATCTGTTTTAATTCTAGAGATCTGTTGATGAGGAGAAGAGAGAGCATGGTGATAAAGTTAGCAAGCTATTGCATTGGATGTCCAATGTGAAACAGACCCCAAACAATGATGAGAATGCTCTGAAAGATAGCAATGCCAACACAGACGCTTCTAATAAGCCCCAGGTAAATGATGTGCATTGTTTGTGGTGTTTGTCGGTGTGTTGTGTTTGCATATGCTGCCACATATTTCTTATACCTGACAAAATGCTTTGGTTTAATGGTGAAGAGGATTTTTCTAATCAAAATGAAATGCACAGTCCTTTGCTGTCACAGTGTATGACTTCTAATAAAAATGCACATTCTACTTTCTGATTCAGTGAATCCAGATATTTTACTCTGTAGACAGTGGTTGTAGTTACTTTATCATATCCCCTCTTCACTTGGCTTACAAAAGCATGGTTCATATAATGGATTTCATTTCATGTCACCTCCAACTGATTCAATAACACTAGTTGCACAAGCACTTATATTTCAGAACAACCTCAGTGACCAATAAATTAAATCAGCCCAACAGGTTGTTGAAATATCAAGATACATTTTTAGTTTGTCCCTGTGTGTCTAAGGACACATGTAGTATAAATATAGCCCAAAGCTGACATTATTCAATTGAAATTTGAAATGCACCTTACATGTAGGTCTACTGTATATCACAATAGCACTCTTAATCGTGATTAAAAAAAATTCTGAGAAGCAGTTTAGTAATCCTGAAGGAATGGGTTGTCATTAATGGTTTGACAGATCTATCCAACTTAATAGAATATTAAAGAGAATTTATCAATGTATTAAAGACGTTCAGACACATGTACTATGCTTACTTGCATTGACAATGCGATTTTTGAGGTTGTTTTCCATCTTTGTGGCCAATTCAGATCAGTGATCGGGCCAAACTATATATTGATCAAACGCTTTTAAAGCACACCATCCAGCCAATTATTCACACTGTCCATTCAGTACATTTATGTACTCAGTATGTTCTTGTGCTGTAATCTAGATCCATGTAAACGAGATCCATGAATATTGCAACCAGAAAAAATACAGGGACATGAATAAAATGTTTGATAATTATCATTAATTGTTAGGATTTTCATACACATAGAAACATGTCAGTACTTTGGAGGCAGTCATGGCTTTGGAAAAAAATGATTTTTTAAAAAATGTATTTATTTTTACATTTTTCAACCCAAAATATACATCAAATCCAATTCCAACAATTCCAGTGTAATAATGAAAGCTTTGGACTTTCTATTTTATTTTTTTATCACATTACGAAACCATCTCTCTGACACTTCTGAACACACTGAAAGTGTTTCTAATATTCTGTCCCAGCATGTAAGGGAGTGAAAAAATAATGCTCAATCAGCCAGATACAACAATTCTACAAATGACCGCCTGAACCACAGAGTTGAATCAACTCCTCTTTGACACATTCTGAACAAATGTTAAACAAATGTAATATTTATTGCATTTATAGCTCTTCTATTGGATTACCTTATTTTGTGCAGGGTTTATATTTAATTGAGTCATTGGCGTGTACTCTATGTTTTTAATCATTCATTTATATATCGTATTTAAACAAGTCAACTGAAACATGTAATTCAAGCTTATAAAACAATCCTAGTGTGTGCATGTGTGTGAGCTTTGTGTCCCCGTTTATCATAATCATATTAGTGACAATATTGTACAATACCTACTCAGTAGTTAATCAAAAATAAAGAAGTGTCATTGTACTGCATATAAAGTGTTAATATGCCACTGTTTGATGTTCTAGGTGTCAGTCGAGGAAATGGTAACTAAAAAGGAACAGATTGCAGAGGCACTGAGGGCCACACAAATGATGCTGAACAAACACAGTGACAAGTAAGTCCTGCTACTGTCACCCACATGCAAAAGACTTTGTCTGCTGTTTACAGTCTCAACCTCAATCTTTGTGTTTCATCTTACAGAATGACCGAAGAGGAAAGAGAAAAGGCCCAGGAGCAGCTGAAGGCACTCAATCAGGCCTACAATGACCTCTCCCAACAATGTTTAGAACAGACCACCTCTGCAGAAGAGGTTGGTCACTGGGCTGCTCCTTCTATTGAGTGGTTTGCATTCATGTCTTATAATGGGTTGAAAAACAGTGCCACCTGATGTTCAGCTGCATGACTAACCTTTTTCTACTCTCCTTTGTACAGTCTGAGCAGTTGTCTTTTGCATCACTCCTTTTATTCCATTACACTGGATCATTAGGGACAGGAAACGAGGTTTATACAATTGAAGCCCAGAGAATCTGTGTATGTTGTAAACATGCTTTGTTGCGCCCGGCTTTAGTCTGACATGTCGCCATTATTAATGTGCTTAACTTAAAACGTAAACAGGATAACGATATGACACATAACCCTTTACCTACAGTATGTGATGTGACTAACTACCCTCTTTTTGCAAGATGCTGGACACTGCATTCCCAGATGCATGATAGCTTTAAGTGTTTTATCCGTCACTCTCCAATCTTGCACTTGTGCACATGATGTTTTAACATGCCCATATTTGTCTGGTGGTGAGTATACATTTTGTCTCGCTTTTGAACATTTTATTGCAAATTTGACATTTAGTAGACAATACAGATTTTGATGCTGAAGCAATAATTTGTAAATTTTTCATTTTCTGTAGGAAAAGTCCAGTAAGTCCAGGGATGTAGGGCTTGTGACCGGACCCATGAGTGGCCTGATTGCTCCCATAACTGGAGTCACTCTCCCAGAGGCCCAACCGGTGACCTCCGTCCTCTTTCAGTCCGAGCCACTTCTCTGTCTGGACCGGGATAATGCTTTCAAACCAGATCTCAGCTATAAATCCACACTGAACCACTTGCCAGAGTTAAATGAAGCAAGCAAGTGCATACAGAATTCACATGTCTCCTCTGTGTCGCTCTGTGACATCGCAGCAGCTAGGGCAGAAGCCGCGTATGATGACATGATCATCAAGATGATAGAGGTCAAACAAGCCAGTGATGGACTGGAGGTGTCCTACACAGGGGACACACTGACCCTGGAGAGGGCATTTCAGAGCGGCTTAATACCTGCTTCTGTTTACGTAAAGATTCTTCAGAGGCAAAAGGATATGATGAATCCCAGCACTGCTGAAGATGTGTCACGCTTAGAGCCTGTGCCGGAGGTTGAACCTTGCGAGGTCAATGGACTGATATTAAAGTGCCTCAGCAGAAATAAATCACTGACATCAGGGAGGGATATTAACACTCTGAGGTTTTGTCAAGAGGGTTTAAGTGACCAGGAGACCATGTCAAGGCTGTTAGGTGCTCAGGTGGATGTAGGTGACCCCAGAGAATGTCAACATGCTGTTGAGGTGTCAGAGGATGGTATGAGTAGCATTGGAAACCTCCAAAATGGAGATGGGCTGAAGGTGGATGCAGCCGTTCAGTGTGATTTGATGAGATCTAGCAGCACACTCACTGTGCTTGGAAATCAGCAGCAGTTTATGGGAATAGTGTTGCCTTCCTCTGGGGAAATCCAGACTGTGTCCACCACAGATGAGTTTACCAGCAGACTGTTCAGTAATCGGGGAAAAATAGCAGCTTTTTACTTTCCAGAAAATTCCGAGGTGGTAGACATTACCTCTGCCACTAAAAATTATTTGATTGACAGTTACACAGCAGAGTTTTTGAAATCTATAGACATCCCTGATGTGTTTCCTGATGTTGATCACCTTAATGAAAAGTATTCATCTTGGCTTATGTATAAAAAACTCTCAGTTGATGGACGCTATCATGCTGGAGACAGTTCAGAAATTGATAACATCCCTACTCACGCAGAGGCAAAGCAGTTATTTATCTCCTACATAATGATAAACACTTACACAGATCCCAACTCAGGACAGCGGGTCCTAATACTCGACAAGCAGCTGAGTAAAATGGTTAAAATCTTTCTTGAAGATTCAATATTTTCTGAAAACACTGAGAAAAATGTCACTTCTCTGACTTTAAATGTTGCCGATCTTTCAGAACAGGTAGATTTAAAGATCCCGCTACACATAAATGAGGAAACAGAAGATTTAATGGAATACACACAACATACTGGTGATCCCAATTTAATTTCCTCAGGAAATGGAATACTTACCTCTGATGAAAACACATATACAAATGCCAGGGCTCTAAAACAGGATCATGTCAATGGATTTTTAGTAGATAATGACATTGACTCGGTGACAGATAAAAACATGTGTCCAAACCAAACTAATTGGACAAAGTCAGATGAATTTACGGAACCAATTTGTGGAAATAATTTGCAAACTGATGTTGAAGGTGCAGATAGTGAAAGTCTTGATATTCCAGTGTTTTCAGTCCTTCACACTTTATGTTCTGTGAACAGAACAAATGTTGGCTCACCAACAAGGATGTTTGACTCTGAGTGTTCAGTAAAATCTTGCCGTCAAACACTGCCATACTACGATCCTGACTCCCTTTGTAGTGATTCAAAAGGTACAGATGTTACCCAAGCTGAGTTTTTATGCTCTGAGGATTTGGCGGAGGGTGAAAATGAGCAAGACTATGCTGTTCATCTTCTGAAAGTGCAAACAGAGGAAGGGGGCATTTTAGACATCACCTCTGGGAGACGTTATGACCTGGAGGCAGCTCTCAGTAAGGGCCTAGTTGATGAAACGACGGTACTAAAACTGCTTGCCGTACAGTCAGATGAAAAAGGAAGTGTTGTTGGTAATGAGGAGGGCACGATGTCTGTTTTAAAACCGGCAGTGTCAGATGGATCCATATCCTCAAACATTGCTTTTCCTATGGCACAGCAGAGCCTTCTGAGATCTGGTTGCACCATTAGTATAAGTGAGTCAGTACAGTCCGGATTAGTTAAAGATGACCGTGTTGACGGTGACGGGGCCCTTAACTCAGACCCCAAAGCCTGCATTTACCCAGAAGAGAACTGTCCTCACTCCATCTTTGACAAAGGTTTAATTAATATTAATGAAGATGACAACGTGCAGCAGCCGACTGAGAGGAAGGTTGCTGCCATTGTGCTCGATCTGACCAATGAGGAGGCTAATAACAAAGAGACAGAGAGTGAGAATGCAGATGCAGATGTAGATTGTGAGACAACAGGAAACGTAGAAAAGATGAGTAATTATCATCACGAGTGTCTCATGATCTCACCCTCCTTGTGGAGTCAGGTTGCTGCAGAGTGTGTTCATCACATTGACAAATTGCCTTTACTGGCTGAAGACAGGGACTCGCAGGGTGTAATCAGCCAGCTGACAGATACAGCTGACTTATCCAGAGTTATGATAGAAAACACTGCTCCAACTACCCAGTCGCGTCCATCTAGTCTGAGTGACGGAACCTCCGGCATCAGCACTGATCCAGAAAGCCAGACTCAATATGCCACTTCGACTAAACACTCTAAATCTGACACCTTGTCCTTTGATGATGAGTTTTTCATGGCTGGATATGATGTCCGAGTGGGAGATCAGACAGTTAATAAGAGTGAATTAGACATGTCCTCACCACATCGCGATGTGTTGTCTGAGGAAAGTACAATGGAGTATGACACGAGTGCAGTTCAGTCACCTTTGGACAGTGAGCCAACTCCAATTAGAGATTACTCATCGCCCGGGGATTTGGTGGAAAGTGCACTTATCTCAGTTTCCAGGGGTAATGGTAACTATGATGACAACATTACAGAAGGTGGCAGCACAATCACATTACCTCAGCAAACTGCACTTCAGTCAGAAAGCAATTTTAGTGTTGAATCTGAGCCCAGCTGCTCTCAAAATTGTCAGAGTACGCTTGTTGGTGAGCAATCTCAACACACACCTGTTGTTTCCAGTGAAGTCATTGCAACACATTCTCTCAGTCTCAATTGTTCTGATGTAGAGGATTCCGAGCAGTACACTTCAGCTACCGCCAGAGTTTCTCTTGAAACAGTACCGGCTGATCGGGATTTGTCAGGTTCAGGTCACAGTGTTACATATGATGTTGATTTAAACACAGAGGGTCTTTCCCTTGAGAGGCAACATGGGGGCATTTTCCCCATGACCTGTGATACAGAACAGATGCATATGTCACAAAATGCACAGAAAGCAGAGACAAGTGATAAACAAAATGCAGATATTGGTGGAAAGGTCTCTGCATTAGAAATGAACTCAGGGCAGTCTGAAACTATAATGGAAGTACAGTTACAATCTAATATTCCACCAGAGGAGAAAAGATTACATGTGTGTGCTTCTGAGCATCCCCACGTAGTTACTGATTTCCTGTCAAACAGCTGCACTAAATCTGATGTTTCCTCTTTAGCTCCATCAGTGTTTTCTAATGCCGTAGGGACATGTGTAGATGACATAGGGGAAATTATTACAAAAGAGAGCTATGTCAGTGATTTGCAAAAGGCACAAACTATTGCTATAGTTCAGAATACTCCACAACCTTTAGACAAAGGCGTGGGAGACACACCTCATGGACTCATAGAGAGCAGTCACCCAGACCTTCTCATGGATTTGCTGAAGCAAAATGCCCTCAGTTTAAACAACAAAGACGAAGGGAACTCAGAACTGATACTGCAGGAAGAGAAAGTCAATGAAAAGACAGAACAGTCCAATGCTCCAAATATCCAGCTGCAGCTGCTGCAGGTTCTTAAGACCGTTTCCTCAAGCCAAGACTTTTCAGTGCTTCAGGAAGTGATGGACACTCTGAGCTCTGCTCTGGGCGGGGACCCTCAGGAGGAGCGGCGGCACATACTAGAGAGCATCAGGGAGGAGAGCTCAGAGGAAGAAGATGAGGGGTCAGCAGATGATGACTTGGGTCACTCTTCTGCAGGCAGTCACCGAACATCTGCTCAGTTGTCTGCCAACTCAGTGGCCTGCAAAATTGAGGAGGTCAAAAATAAGGTATACTGATGTTATTTCAGTGTTAAGCTAACCCCCTCCCTTAGTTTTTGAGATGAGTAACATCTGTTCCACTTCTGTTCTGCGTTTTGTTTTCGGCAGCTGTTCTCCATCCAGGATTATTTGGAGTGCGTTGGGAGGCTGCAGGATCACGCTGATGTTTTAGATGATGTCAGAAAAGACCTTTTAATCCAGGCACCCATGGGCAACATCATGGAAGAACTGCATCTCCAAATAGAGGAATGTCAGGTTAGAAATTAACAGCTGAAGCACATTTGTCATATGTGGCATAAATTACCATCAAACAATATCATATGTTCTCAATTTATCATTTATGCATACACATATATGCATGAATTCCTGACCAAATGTGCTCTTTTATCCAGTCTCTGGAGTCTCAACTCTCTAGACTGACTGGTGTTCTGACGGCAGATATGGAGAAAGCCAAACAGCTCTTAAGTTCTGCCAGTGAGGGCATTCCCATACAAATCCACCAAGACTTGGCCTCGACTTATATGGAGTTGGGGCCAAATTTCACTGCTGTTTCCCAAATGTGTGCAGAAAGGAGTCACTCCCTAATTCAAGCAATGGAAGCGGGAAAGGTCAGGGTTCATTGCTAGTAACTTAAATAAAATGATGTAACAGTTGCATCAGCTATTGACAACTTTAAATGTGATTGTAGGTACATTTGGAATCAACGTACCAGAAACATCTTAGTGATCTTGATGAACTAGCGGGCCTCGTCCAAAACACCTCTGAGATGTGTGCCGTGGATTTTAACATGTGCGATGTGGACACACTGAAACATTTGATTCAGCAGAACAAGGTCTTTTTAAAGTCTAATTAAAAACATTCAATATCCACGCAACGACAGAAACTTACTCTGCATATGTCCATTGTTTCCTCCAGGACACGGAGAGAAATCTGCTTAAAGAAGCCAGACTCAAGTTAGAGGATGTCACGTTTGATATCCAGTGCTTTATATCTGAGCACGCTCAGTTCCTGAGTCCAGCTCAGAGCAGCTACCTCCTCAAGTTCCTCAGCACCACTCAGCGAGCACTCAGGGACCAGACAGAGAAACTTGTTACCCAGAGGAGCGCCTTAGATGTCCTGCTGGACACCAGGGAAAGGGAGAACCAGCAGAAGGTCTGCCTGTGGATATAAAATATCACAGATGTTTCCTTGACAAAACAACATAATGAATGCTTACATTGCATGTGGAGTAGGCTTTATAAGCCATGTTACTGGTCAGATTTACGCATTGGTATAGTATCATTTATGGATTAGAATAAAAATGTAGATGAACTCAAACACACTGAATAAGCACAGTTGCAGTACATGGAGAACTGAGAGAACTGGCAAAAGTTATGTTATTCAGACAAGTATAAAAAATGAATGAGACATATGAACCTCAGACATCAGAGCAGCAATAATTATTCAGCTCAAATATTGAACTTCTATGTTGTTTTTGTATGTGGATTTCAATTAAAAGCTGGACTTCTCCCAAGTAATGAGTATTCATAACAGTATCTCAAAGTCTTTTAATATAAATACTTTGTTAAATGTATTCTGAATTGAATTATTGGCTTTTGTTTCCAGGATTCAGATTTGGGAGGTTCTACTGTGAATGCCTAAATGTTTAGGAAAAATAACAACAATGCATGCTCAAGTGGTTGACCACTCCTGCAGACTAACTTTTGTGCTGGTTGTATTCTACAGGCCTCCAAGTCTCCAGAGAACAATTAACAGTGGACCAAATGCGCCTTGTCTGTTGGAAAACCACAACAAACCCATTAACACACATTGTGCTTATAACAATCATGAGACCAAAGTGGCGAATGGCGAAAAAGCATGTTTACAGCATACTAGATTTTTACACTATTATGAGAAATGTGTGAAAAAAGCAGACTTTGCATGTTGTTTCTAAGTGCTTAAATAGTTTCTTCTCCCTTGTTTTGATGTCTGTGTTCCTAAATAGTGGGGATGTTGTTTTTTGTATGTGAAGGTTTTATTGAGTGTGGATGTCTGTGCTTAACGACATATTTACTTTTTTTTTTATTCTTCCTGGATAGTCTTTACTGGAGAAACACAAGGAGTTTACAGAGAAGTTGGAGGAAGTGTGTGATAATCTCACCTTGACAGAAAACCACCTGATTGGTCATCAGCAACAGGCCGAAAATGCTAAGCGTGTCACGGACCTGCAGCAGTACCAGCAGGAGCATCAGGTTTAAAATACATTTCCTTTGCTTTTTAAGAAGTACAGCATTTGTCCAAGTATGTTTTCATCAGTTAAAATAAAATCTGTTTTATTCCATGACCCTGCTATTCCTGCTGATTTACGTTTGTCTGACCTCAAGGCTCTGCAGAAAGATGTATTGACAAACGCCAGTGCCTTGAATGAGGTCATCACCAGCACTAAAAAGTTTCTGGAGGAAAACCGGAGCAAGCTGACACCAGACCAAATCGCCATCATTGAGAGCAAATTGGAAGAGGCTAAGAGCAAAGCCAAGCTCATCAACCAGCGGGCAGAGGAGTCCAGGAAAGATCTGGAGAAGGTCGTTACCACAGCCATAAAACAGGAGAGTGAAAAGGTCAGAGTTCAGATTACTTCCATATATGTTGTCTGTAAAAACTATGTAATGCATCAGAATTTAAATTATTAGTTACAGTGTAATTAACATATTGCTAAACTTTATGTCCACGTATTATAAAGATTTTGTTCACTATTCTATTTTGTTAATATGTAATGTGTCTGTCCTTTCAGGCAGCAGCTGTTGAGCGGCTTGAAGAAAGTAAGAACAAAATCGAAGGTCTCCTGGACTGGATATCCAACATAGGGAATGAAAATGAGAGTCTGGATGAAACTGACCGTACAAGTAAAGAGAATGGAAACCTGCCAGAAGAAACCTCGGAGAAGGGACTGATAGGAGAGGAGGACGATGCCAATGGAAATGCTTTTCAGACCACTGAAAAGGATTTTGGCAGAGAGACCGGTGGCAAGAGCGACGCCTCCCTGGACCTCGATAAGCAATATGACAGGGTCAAGGTATAGTTGGCTGGTTGCAAAACAAAGTAACAAGCAGGCACTGACTTTCTCACGGCATTACTTGAGGCAGATCATTATGGTTACATCTAAAGTTGAAAGACACAAGTAGCAGTGCAGACATGTTCAAAGTAATAATGATATCAAATATGTCATAATCAATTTCTAAATCTGTTAAACAGTACATGCCAACAATTATAAAAGCCCCATTGCCAAACAAAGTTCAGAATTTAAGTTTATTAGAAAATGAAAGCGTTATCTTGTTATCTGTAATTAAAATATGACACTTAGAGCATTAGAAGAGATGGAGATGAAGAGATGGATAACTCTGTGAAATGTCAAATAGTTTCATTAGTATCAAGCAGGGAATAGAATCTTTAAGTCGAAACTGCAGTTAAGCATTTAAAGCCAATAAAGACAAAAAGTAAAGAAATAATAACTGCTATATGTGTTAGTATTGTGTCCTCAAGACTTTATTGTTCTCACAGGCCCGCCATCAGGAGATCCTGTCCCAGCAGCAGGATCTCATCATGGCCACCCAATCAGCTCAGGCTCTGCTCGACAAGCAGGCCGACGTGCTGTCTCCAGAGGAGAAGGAGAAACTGCAGAAGAACATCCAGGAGCTGAAGGGACGCTACGAGGCCTCGCTGACGCAGGCTGAACAGCAGATGAAGCAGGTGCAGTGTGTTCAGGAGGAGCTGAAAAAGTTCCAGCATGACTGTAAGGAGTTTGAGGGCTGGTTAGACCAGGCGGAGGGAGACGTGGAGGAGCTAGGAGCTCCTGCAGGCTCTCTCAATATCCTCAGTGACAAACTCCAGCGACAGAAAAGCTTCTCAGAAGATGTGATCTCTCACAAAGGGGACCTTCGCTTCATCACCATTTCAGGACAGAAAGTGCTGGACGTGGCTAAAGCCTGCGCATTAGATGACCCTGCAGCTAAGAATGCTCCACTGCACGTGGATACTTCAGGAACCTGTTCGGCTGTCAAGAATAAGTTGGACTCAGCAGCCACCCGATACAAAACACTATATTCACAGGTAGTTATTCCGCTATTAATCAGATTGATCTTTAGAGGTTGCAATGTCTTATTCTTGCCACTGGGTGGGAGCATTTGTCTTCATTGAACCTCTGCTGTGTAATGCCTCATTATGGTGCCACACCATCTTCTGTAGCTGTAAAAATGTCAGAGAAAGTGACAGTTTTCCAGCTATTGGTCATTGTTATCTTCATGTATTGATCCTTTGTACTTAATTTTCAGGTTTCTGAATATCTTATCACACATACAATATAATTCCATGGCTTCTGTTTCAGTGCAACCAGCTTGGCAACAACCTCAAAGATGTGGTTGACAAATACAAGAAATATGACGACTCGAGCGCTGGTCTTTTGAAGTGGCTCAACAGCTCAGAGGAGGAGGCCAGAAAGCAGCAATCAGAGGCCATAGCAGCTGATCCACAAACACTACAGAAACAGCTGGAGGAGACCAAGGCAAGAAAAACTGCAAGCCAGGACTAAAGTGCTTTAGGCCTAGTCTTGGTATTGAGTCCAACTTTAGAATATCGTGTTGAAAAGCTCAGATTTATCTCGGATTGTGGTCTTTTTTTATCTTGTCGTACACTTTTCGTACTTCAAATGAGACCTCTCTTAATCTTCAGACCAACACAGGAGTCATATGAAACAGACCTTCTGATCATTATTCCCTTGTAATTAGTGCAATTCAATTTGGTGAAAATTGTTTTTCTACAGTTAAAGTTCAAGAAGACTGGTGTTTGATATCTCCTTCCCTAAGCCAGAAGTTGTCCTTCCTAAAACTCTCAACATCTGTTCTTGTGGCTGTTAAGAAATAAAGAATAGCTTTATTTAGAAGGAACATGAGCAGAACTTTGAGCATTGACTGGGTTACAGGGTCATGGCACAACAGACCTGTCTTACCATATACAGTGTTTCCACTGACTTAAGTGCAACATAGTTATTTTTAGCCCTGTGTTCAAATTCAAACCCACATGTGAATAGTTTAACTCTGTTTTTTTTGTAGCCTACATGCTCCTACAGGAGGATAAGAAACTAGGCTGTCAAAGATTTTGGCTGCAGTTAGCTTGAACATTTCTCTGTAGGGAGGTAGTGACTTACAACATAGATATGCCCAGATAAGAGGCGCCTGTGGGCCCAACCAGGGAACACTGTACTTTAGGCTTTGGTTACAAATCACTGCAAATAATCCTGAGCCTTTCTTTAAGTGTAAGCAGACAGGTACAACTAACTATATCTGTGGAATGACTCAGTATTTCCATAGATATTGTCCAGACACTCTTGCACATATTTTTATCTTCAATCCATAATCTGTAAAGTAGAGAATCAGTGTAGAAAGAGGATATTTATTGATGTGGATACAGTTTTATTTTCTCTGACCTCTTCCTACTTACTGATCCACAGGCCCTCCAAGGTCAGATGACGGGCCATCAGACTGCTGTTGACACACTACGCAAAACAGCCGAATCTTTGGTAACATCTGAAGGAGACCTGCTGAGCAACCCCGACGAGATCCAGGAGACAGTAGGTGAGGGGAAAATCAAAGCAGGGAGCAGATTTTGCACCATCTACATAATATCTGAGAATTGAAATGATTTTATGTTATAAATAATGGGATATATATGCAAGTTATGCCAGTTGAACGACATTGAAATAACTTGAAATATCCTTTCAAAATTAAATATTTGAAAGTACAGCTTTAATAAATCATACATAAATCTCATAGCCCTAGAAAATGTTAGCGTTGCAACTTGTTACAGGTAGGTTGGTTGGTTGTTAAGCAAGCAGAATGTCCATTGGTTGCAAGCAAAAATTTCAACATAGCCCAAAGTGTCCTTTTCTAAAACGTACACAAATTATCTGTGTGAAATATGACTTTCATGGTGTCTCATTTGTATTCTTTCCCCTAGTCACTGGTTTCTTGGCTAACACTTAAAAATGCTTTTACGCCATCAAAATCTTTCAACTCATAAACGCCAAATAGGTTTCTGCTTTGGTTTGAAATGTTTATCCGATGGTGCGTCCCTAACAATGAGAAATTGTTCACTTTTAAACATAACACGATTTGTTTCCATGCGTTACAGATGACATAGTTGAGCGCTATGACAACCTGTCCAAGTCTGTAAGTGATAGAAATGAGAAACTGCAGATCACCCTGACTCGCTCCATGAGTGTCCAGGATGGTTTGGATGAGATGATGGGATGGATGGAGGGAGTGGAGGCCAGCGTGAAAGAGAAAGAACAAATTCCCCTGGACTCTGCATCCATTGGAGATATCCTCAGCAAAGAAGCAGTATGTTTTCTTGTCATCATTTGCAGTCCAACTATGTACTGCATTAATTATTTTATTTTTATTTAGATATTAAAAAATTGCTGTTTTCCATTCTGTATTTTTTAAGGCATTAGAGCAGGACATAGCAAGTCGGCAGAGCAGCATCTCAGCCATGAAAGCCAAGGTGAAGAAGTTTGTGGAGACGGCAGATCCCTCTGCTGCTGCCCTGCTGCAGTCTAAGATGGATGCTCTCTCCCAGCGCTTCTCTAATGCCTGTGACAAACATAAGCAAAAAGTTTCCCAACTGGAGCAGCTGAAGGAAAAGGTGGAACAGTTTGATGAGGTCGCAGGCAAATTTCAGCAGTTTGTTGTGAAGTGTTCACAAGAACTACATGAGACAGACGGGCCAGGGAAGACTTTCAATGAATTGTCTGAGCTAATGAAGGTAAATACACATACTTCATCATACATACATAAACGTCATCAAGAATTAGATTTTATACTGCAAAATGGCTTACTATTATTATTTCACTGTAGAATACTAAAGCTGAGATGGCTGAACATGCCAGTGATCTGGAGAAGCTGCAGACTCTGTCCAAGGAGCTGTCTGAAATAAGCCCTGATGGAAACAAAGCGCCAATCCAGAGCAAGATGGACAATCTCTCAAATATTTTCAGCACCTTAAAAGACTCTGTTAAAGAAAAGTAAGTTGGGACAGTGGAGGGAAAATGAAGGTATTTGGGATATTTTAACAATTAGCAATACGTCCTTGTTTGTATAATGTTTGTGACGAACGGAGGGATGCATGATATGATTCTTGTCCACTACAGGGAAGAGGAGGTATCATCCTGTCAGGACCAGCTGGGAGAGTTCAGATCTGCAGCTAGCGCTCTCACCAAGTGGCTGGAGCAGACCAATGAGAAAGTACCTGCGGTTCAGACAAGCAGCAGTGAGAAAAGTCTGGAGAAGGACCTGCAGATAGTTACTGTGAGTCATGAGATACATAAAAAGTCAACATTCTACTATAGAGACAGTGCTAATTCTATACACACATGCACACCTACACACCCCCACACCCCCACACAAGGGAATAGCACTGTCTCTATTTTGCAATAGATACTGTCATTGTAAGTTTGTTTTAATAGATAATAGTCCTATCCTCCCTAAACTCCCCACTATCCCAACCTGCCTTCTCTGCCAACTAATGACAGATATAATATCTGGGAGTGAAACACTACATTGTTTCTTTGCAAGATGTTATAGAAACGATTACAGAAGTAGACCCTGAATCTAGTGTGAAAAGCATTGCCATGCCCATATATAAGATCTATCTGATTAATCCATCATCAGGTTTTATTAGATGAATGGACATCCAAAGGCCCTGTTGTCCAAGACCTGAACAGTAAAGGATCAGCACTCTGCAGCCTCATCACTTGCCTCACATCCCCTGCCAAGACAAAGACCCCTAAAAAGTCAGGTAAGCATCACGTAACCTCATCTATTTGAATCATTCAGTGGAAAAGGGAAGCATGGTGTTTGGGTGCCCTTCTGAGTACTGTATAATCACTAACCATTAGAGATCATGGAATTATCTTTTGCCAACAACCCTTGACAGTCTGCCTGTCCTTCACACAAGCTTTGTCTTATGTCTTTGCATCAGCTCTTACTAATGGTGGTGCTCCAGGGAGCCATTCCTACCTAACCAATAAAGGTAATCAAGTGTGTATGTCTATGCTGCTGTGTAAATACTTCGTTTATGGTGTGGTGTGTAGGTATCATGACTGGTTTTCAAAACACTGCGGTGGTGCCATGCCAAGCAAGAAGCAACTTTTGAAAATCACTCTATGTTCAGATGATGAGACAAACACACTAGAGTCTATTGTTTAAGCCTCAACCAAACTCCATAGGGAGCAGAGAATTTTGCTTCAAGCTATTTCATAAATTAATCATATAAAGGTGCAAACATCTACACACAGAGAGCACACATGATAAGATTAGATGGGTACTATGTTTATTTGGCCTCATGCAAGAACATTTAAAGAACTTTTTCACATTCTTAAGACTCGAATTTTGCTCCATTTTTGGGCAAGTTTCATTCACAAAATGATCATACAAGAGTGAAAAGGAGAACTTCACATTGTAGAACTTTGTGTCCTGCTGTCGAAAAATCAGCAAATGAAAACGACTGAGGTGGTCAGGGAGATGGACAAGAGAACACATTAGCATAAACTGTTGGCTGCAGCAGAGGATGTTCACCTGGACACTGACCTGCATAAAGACTCTGAGGCAGCTGTTGAATTGTTGTTGTTGGAGGATACTTACGTAGACGTTATCGTGCCAAAATAACCATGGCAATAAAAAAAAGACAAAAAAGGAAAAGGCCAATACTCTAGCAGTAAACAATATATTAATTATACAATTATACATATTTTGTTTTATTCTTCATTTTTGTTGATTTCGTTTACATTTTAACTCCAAATTTATTCATGTTGAGGCATTGTAATTCATAAGTTAAACAACAGTTTTTCCCCCTCTGGAGAAAGTCAGACTAACAGTACATGACTCGTATGATGTGTTTGTAAATGCATAAGTTCTTGTAAATTACTTGTATGTGCCACCTCTGTGACATGAGTGGTTCTTGCATGAGGCCCAATGTCTTTTTTATTGAACTCATCATTTTCTGTGATGACCTTTTGGAAAGCGTGCAGTCACATTGATGATTTCCACAAATGCTTGAATGCCATTTGCTGGGAGTTGGTGATACTTTCCTCGCTCATATTCTGAACATACTGTATCACACAGCCATTATATTAAGAATGCCTCACTGTTATCATAACCTCACCATCTGACTATAAAAATAGAAAACTCCTTGAAAGGAAACTTAATAGAATTATTTTTTGATGTCCTCAGAGCTGATGGTAATTCAGCAGAACATGTCATTCGTCAACGAGGGATACGCGCGCCTGGGGGAAACGCTGAAGAGTCGAGCAGCAGAGCTGAGTAGTTTGGTGCATGAGGTCAAAGAGGCCCAAAAGGAGACGGAGGACATGATGAAGTGGCTGAAGGACATGAAAAAGACTGCAGCATCCTGGAACAATGCGGCCACAGAGAAAGATTCAGTGAAAACACAGCTGGAACAGCAGAAGGTACAAAAGTGTTTGTTGGACTGTTAATTATGTTCTAAAACTGCAAGCAGTCCTCACTGATTTTGTTCTACTGTGAATGAGATAGTCATCACCAGTCAAGTTGGAGATCACAGAATTCAGGGATTATAATTTGTTTTCTTCACTCAGACATTTGAGGACGGCATGAAGCAAAAGCAGGAGCAGCTCCAGAAGCTCAGAGAGAAGCTCCTCAACTTGATTAAGACTCATCCAAATTCCCCCGAGGCAGCAAAATGGAAGCAGATGCTGGCAGAAATAGGTATGCACTAAGGTGTTGTCTCCAGATGGCCCTGGGTAATTTATGTCACTGAAACTGTCAGAGGTATGTTGAACCACGCTGACAAAAAATGTTTCTCATTACGGCACTGGCCTTTGAGTGAAGGCTTCTAGAGGCGGCTGAGGCTCAGGAGGTAGAGTGGGTTGTTCACTAATCAGAAGGTTGGGGTGTGTGCGGGATTAGTTTCTGTTTGCTTCCTGATGAGCAGTTAGCACCTTGCATGGCAGCCACTGATGTGAATGGGTGAATGTGACATGTAGTGTAAAGTTCTTTGAGTGGACGGAACACTAGAAAGGCGCTACACAAGTGCTGTGCATTATCCAAAATGGGTTGAAAGAATTTGTGTCCATCTGCCAACCACATGCATAGAGTACATGCTAACAGAATGTGAGTGTGACTCAGTACCTGCTCTCTGCCACACCGGTTAAATTAACACATTCATAGTGCCAAGTCCTGCTCAGTGGGATGTTTGCTACCAGAACAGTGGGACAGTAGAAAGAAAGGTGCTGTTGTGTTGACTAATGCAGAATGGTGTGATTGTTCTGCCCCCCCCCCCCCCCCCCCATCGCTCAGATGCTGCTTGGGCGGATATTAGCGGTTCTGTAGAGGAGAGGAAGCAGCACCTGGAGCAGTCCAACAAGAATCTGGACATCTTCCAAACAACTGAGCTGCAGCTTGGTCAGTGGCTTTCAGAGAAAGAGCTAATGATGAGTGTCCTTGGACCCCTCTCCATAGACCCCAACATGCTTAAAATGCAGAAGCAGCAAGTTCAGGTAATCATGGTGCATGTTGTTGGGAATAAACTGAGGCTTGTGCACTTCTTAAGAACCAGTATTTCTTGTTGTTTTCGGAAGAAGTGTTCACCTTGACTGATTTTTGCCCTCCAGATCCTCCAGAATGAATTTAAGAGCCGTAAACCTCAATATGAGCAACTTGAGGAAGCTGCCTCTGCCATCCTGAGCTCCTCGGGCAACCAGGACCCCTCAAATGGGAAGCTGGTGAGGGAGCAGCTCGCTGCCGTCACCCAGAAGTGGCAAGGCCTCACGGGACAGCTGGACCAGAGAGACAGCCTCATCGACCAGGCTGTGGTGAAGACAGGGCAGTTCCAGGAGTTACTGAGGAGTATCAGTCAGACTGCCACCGAGCTGGAGAATCAGCTCACCAACCACCAGGGCCACAGCACCCAGCCCGATGCTGTGAAGAAGCAGTTGGAGGATGTCCATAACATCTCAACCCAGCTGAGAGAGGAGAGGAAGAAGCTGAAGGAGGCTGAGGTCATCAACGCAGAACTCACAGCTATGGTGACTGAGGACTATCTCAAAGCAGACTTAGCCAGGCAGCTGGAGAGTGTCAGCAAGCCTTTCAAACAGCTGGAAGAGAAAGCAGGTTGGCCTTTTATAACTTAACCTAATAATGTTGTGTTGTAATGTTTGGAAAGAAAGAACCATTATGTTTGTGTTGAGTCACAGTAAAATATATTTATTCTATGACAACAATTTTCCAACAGGCTCTTGTGGAGTACTCAAACTCCGGTCAAGGCCCAATTTTTTTGACAATTTTTTAAAATTTGGAATATGGTATAGTTGATATAGTTGATAGTTGTTCCCTCTAAATTATATCACAAATGTACAGTGCAATAAAAAGTGCAGCTATCTTTTAGTTCTGCTTTTTGCATAAGAGGTCTTGCAGCATTTAACTCACCAATTGTCACTTTTTTCTGTTGTAGCAAAACGGATTGAGCAGCTCAGCTCAACTTTTGCCAGCTCTCAGCAGTTCCATCAGACCTCCAAAGACTTTCAGTCATGGCTGGGTGAGAAGCTCCAGGACCAGTCTAAGCCCCAGCCCATCTCTTCCAAAGTTGACGTTCTGCAACAAGCCCTGGAGGAGCACAGTAAACTCCAGAAGGCTCTCAGTGAACATAAGGAAGCTTACAGCACAATCATTGGGGAAGGGGAGATGCTTCTGCATAACACTGATGGTGCAGAAAAGTTGGCACTACAAGGGCAGCTTACTACACTCTCTTCCAACTGGGAGGAGGTGAAGAAGAGCTCCATGGAACAGGTCGACAAACTCCAGACTGCCTTGCAGAGATCTCTGAAGTATCAGGAGCATGCAGAAAAGCTCAGCTCCTGGATTCAAGAGTGTGAGGCCAGCGAGGGCCAAGTCAAACTCACTGTTGATCCGGTTGCTGTGGAGAGCACCATTTCTCAGGTGAAAGCTCTCCAGAAGGATGTCGACAAGCACAGAGGGATGGTGGAGCAGCTCAATGCGGCTGCAGATAGCCTTCTTGAGGTGGCCAACATGGACACTGAAGGCGTCAAAGAGGAGAAGGCTAGCATTGGTAAAAGAGTGGACAATGTAATGGATGGCCTGCAAAACAAACGGGAGTGCCTGGAAAAGATCTCACACACAGTTAAAGAATTTAATGATGCCTATAAAGAAGCAAAGAGTCAGATTGAGGCGGCTAAGAAGCAGGTGGATACCTATGAATCACAGGGAGTTCAGGCACACAGCAACAAGAACCTGACCAATATGAAAGCCCAACAGAAGAGTTTAGAGGGAGTCCAGAACCAAGTGGAGCACCTGAAGAACCTGGCCAGGGGCCTTGTGTTGGATGTCCCAGATGCTGATGGGGTGACAGACCTCTTACTGCAGGCTGACAGCGTAGAAAAGGACTACAGCACCCTTAGCAAGACAGTTGAGGAGACGTGCCAAGTCTTGGAGGGTAAACTGCAGGGCATTGGGCAGTTCCAAAACAGCATCCGAGATATGTTCACCCGGTTCACAGACCTGGACGATGAACTGGACAGCATGGCTCCTGTGGATCTTCACTTGGCCACTCTTAAAGAACAGCAGGACAGCATTCAGAGTTTTGTGGCCAAGCTGCAAGAGCTGATGGCCAACACGGCCAATGCTGGAGACAGCTGTAGGAAGATGCTAGAGACTGAGACCTCACCTGACCTGTTAGGCCTGAAGAGAGATCTGGAAGCTCTGAGTAAGCAGTGTGGTAAACTGTTGGACAGGGCTAAAGGCAGAGAGGTGCAGGTGCAGAGTACTCTCACCAAACTTGAGGAGTTGTACAGTAAACTCCACCATGCGGAAGACAAACTTCGTAGAGCCGTGGACAAGGAGGCGTCCCAGGAGGCAGTTGGCATGGAGACGGACATCATCAACCAACAACTGGAGGCCTTTAAGGTATGTAACCCCAATGTAACATTTATTGTGTTGTTTAGGCCTAAACATGAAATTTCATTTAATTCAAGTGTGATAAGTGATTGAGTTGGATGATGGAATATATGTGAAATCACACCAGCAGTTATGGTCCATTGTATGTGTGTGTTATAATTATCAGTGCCTAAACATATAAAGAGATTTTAAAAACTTTAGCATGCATCCACTTTGTATTTTTGGAACTAAAGCTGTGTAAGCTTGTTACAATGCAGTCTAGGGCTGCAACTAACCAAATTTTCACAATTGATTATTTGCTGATTAGTTTCTTAATTTATCGTTTGGCCTATACAACATATGAAAAGAGTTAGAAATGCCCATCATAATGTACTAGAGCCCGTGGTGATATAATTGTTGTTTTGTCCGACCAACTGTCCAAACCCCAAAAATATTTAATTTACTATAATGTTAAAGAGGTGGTATTATGCTCATTTTCAGGTTCAAAATCTTAATTAGGGGGGTTGTACCAGAACAGGTTTACATGGTTTAATATTCAAAAAACACCATTTTTTTCTCATACTGCACATTGCTGCAGCTCCTCTTTTCACCATATGTGTTGTACGCTCCGCTCTTGAGCTACAGAGTGATACATCTTACTTGTACAAAATCTTTGTACATGCGCAGTTCCCAGGTAAGGACTACTAGCCATTCAGAAACAGAGAAGGGCGGATCGTAAGAAACAAGGCAGTGTGATCCAAATCAAAGCCGTTTCAGACTGCGACCGTAACCTAGCAGATGGTATAAGTTACTCACAAGTCCACAACCACACAACATCATTGTTCCACATCTTACTATAAACCACTACAAAAATCACAATATTTCAACTCAATTTAACATAAACATTGGCCAAACAATTTGAACATTTGCTCCGTCGCTTTCACATCGGGTGTAACATTAGCATTATAGGTATAACTTTAGCTGTGTTTGCCAACGTTTGCAACAACTCCACACTTGAACAGTCTGTGAAGTTATATTGCTGTGTTTATTTTAAATATAATTCACAATCAATAAAGCATACGTACAGGTTGTGATTGTGAATTTCCAGGCCCAAACAGAGTCGGAGTTGCATCGTCTTTTAGGACTAAACGTTGAACTGTTGCCGGTGTTCTGACGATCTATGCTGCCTTGCTGAAAAATGCTACCATAGCGCAAATCGACAGACTCGACTCTACTCGGCCCTGCTCCGTTTTCCATTGCAGATAGTACCCAGAGATAGTACGTAGCTTGTCGTCATAGCGATGCCACACACAACTGCCGCGACGTAATGTTCAATGCGACACACATACCAGCGATCCACACAGCTTTATCTTTTTTAAGTTAAAATGTTTCAACATTACTCAGAATGTAAAGACAGATAAGCGGTATGAAAACCTTCCAGCTGTGTTTTCCTCTGCCGTTGTTGCTGCAGCGGTCTGTGTGAGGGCGGGAGCAGAGGGCTTTGTGAGCAGGTGGCTGGCCGGCCTCGCCAGCTCCTCCTGCAGGTTGGCACAGGCTTCCCCCGCAGCCACTTGCAATATTCGAAATCTACACAGCTGATTCTCACCTCAAAACTTCTCAGAAGTGGATTTAGTGATGAAATTCCATACGAAAACTGTAAAATATAAAACTTTCTGTTGCTGGCCTCTGTCTGGCGCACGCAATGATGATCCAGTGAATAGTGAATATTCTCTCTAACCAATCAGCAGTCTGTCATGTTTTCACGTTACATTTTAGTATCCCTCAGCTCACTTGGAACCTCGACGGAGGTGAGGTGATACGAAAAAAGGACCTGGAAGCAGGTACAGGTACAACATTTCTAGAATGGAAACCCAAACAAAGGCGAGTCCAGCCAAGTCGAGCTGGTACTGTGCAGTGGAAAAGGGGCTTAACTAAAATCAAAGGGCCTCTGTTCAGACTAGCTTGGTTTGAGGGCGTGCCTGACCCCGCTAGCTGCTTGGCAAGCTTTATGGCGCGTTTTCCTTGTGATGTCACAGGGAAGGAAAGGACTACAAACGATCTGTTTTCAAGCAGTGCAGAGCAGTGCTTTCTGTGGGAGATGGGAACTCCCTTTGGGCTGGCTTTTTCACTTTGCAAACATGTTACATGCACAAAAAAGAGATATAACTCAATAAAGGAGAGGTGAAAAGCCAAAAAGCATAATAGCACCTCTTTAAGACAAGGAAAAGCAGCATATTTTCACATTTAAGAAGCTTAAACAAGAAAATATTTTTCACTGAATTACAGCTATGTGACATTGATTAAGAGAGAGAGATTTAAAATTATTGCAGACTTGTGGTGTTAGTAAGGATAATGGTGGGATGAGTTCACAGATTAAAGTACATCGTTTTTCATAGTAATGTTAAAAGATGCAGAAGATATTGTACAAATATAATTATTAACGCCTACAATTTGTTCCTATAGTAAAATTTTAACTAATTTGAGAAAAGCCTTTCTTGTAAAATTAGATAATAGAAAGTGCAACATGCATATATTTTATTTATCCGAAGAAATTCAGTTTTTAAACGTGAAAGTCCCATTTGGTATTTAAACTGGCAGTTACTGACAAATGCTATTTTTATTGTTACTATGAATTAATCTAGCCTCAAAGCTATATGTTAAAAGCTATGTTCTCTCCTGTGTTTTACATATATTTCCAAATTTTAACATTACCTTATTACATGAACAAAACAATTAGTATTTTAGATGCTGTTTATCCACAAAACCTTGCATTGGGCTAGATTATCAGCTGGCTCTTCACTGAGCACACTTACTACATTCGTGACAATCCTCCGGGGACTGCTGGTTCATTAGGGGCATCTGGTGTTAACAAAAGAGCTGTGGCCCATATGCAGTGATGGTGCGGGAGGGATGGACCGTCGCAGCCAGGTGGTTGCCAGCAGGGTGTCACTTGATTCGATGGTCCCAATAATGAAGCTGGGCCTGCATCCTGATCTCTTAACATTGATCTTGTTGCTCTTTTATGTTGTTCTGACATTATATCTATCGCTCATTAGCTCTAAGCTTAGAGTAGCCCGGTGCTAATTTTACCATTTTGACATGGACACCAGTTGGTAATGTGATGGTTGGCGATCATTAAAATGAAACCCTATAGTATTTAGTGCTGGGCTGAGCGTCCATTAAGGCTTGTGGTAATATGAAGTTAGATTGCTAAATATACTGTGATAAGGGCTTGAATAGATTATTCCTTTAAGCTGTTTCTTATTGCATTAAGAAAGTTTGTACTAAACATTTTAAAATTGCAAGCAGGTCATCATCATATTTGCAGTAATACAGGCACAGCTTCCTAATTGTCCTAATCGTTTTCAATTCCTCTGCCTCTCCATAGTGTCGATAAAATCATGCAGGCCTTTGTTGGTGTCAGCAAGGGATAAAACAAGGGGTAGCCATAAGCAAGATTTACAGACAGATGCAAAATATTTTAAAAGCCTGTAAATTCCTGTGGAGTTTCCCCAAAGAGGATTAACCTATATTTAGAGGTGAAATTGTGAGACACTCCTTCATTTATAACATTTGATAGTATTACAATAAAACAGCTGTGTATAGGCAGATGACACAGATCGGTCCAAAAATGTAGGTCAAGGGATTTTTGTTTTTCAATTAAGGGGGTGCCGCACTCACGTAGGAGGGCTACACCCAAACCTCCAGTAGAGCTGCATGGATTAAAATATCACTGGGGGTAGCTGGGGTAGGGGCTGTTGTGTGGAGTTTGGTTTAAAGGCCTCGCAGGGTAACTATTAAAGAAGTGATTGATTCAGATTGTTGCTGAGCAGCGTTGCCATGGTGCATGTTTTTACCCCCTCTTTGTCCTGTCTCCAGTCTGGGTTGAGAGGGCATATACGGCCTCAGCTGCTGCTGGAACATGCCCTTTGTACTCATTCGTTCCGATACTACGGCAAAGCAGTGCTGGAACTTTTGTTGCTTCTTTATTTAGTTGCAGCATAAAAACATTAGGTGATTGTGTCATATTCTGTTTTATACTCGCTGGATCAGGCCTGTGTTACTGTAGGTTAAGTGGGCTTTATTGGCAGCTGCTGAGAAAGAAATAAACAGAGAAAGACAGCGCTTATATTCGTCCCTTTCATGTGCTGTTACCATTTTAGGTCAAGTTTTGGAAGAGACACGCCTGAGTTCATGTGTTTGCTCTTGTTTTTCACATGAGATTTGTAGGACCTCAGCTGAGGAAGTCCTGGTGTATGTATATCTTTACGTGTACCTTAAAGGGCAGCTCAAGTGACTCAACACTCCTGGGGGCTGGCGTGGGTGTCTTTTCTCTCTGTTCAGACATTACATCAGCGTCTCTTGCAACTCAGAAAGGAATTTCTACTGACTGAATCACACTGTAGCTAACCTGCTTCATTGAAGTCGATGAGGGTGTCGCTGTGGCGACGTAGTGTCGCTTACTCACTGCCACATAGCAGTGATGCACTCTTCTTAAAGTGAAACATGGAACCTCTTTGCGCCAGTTGCTATACAGGCAGAGGACACATTGTTTTGCAGTAAGGCGATTATGTTGAAAAGGTTTCCAGTGTTTGTTTCCCATGTTGACCTACATCTTAAGTGTTAAAGCAGTCAGCTGAACTGAAATGCCAGAAGACGAGTTTGAAAACAATACGCTCCCACAATACATTTGTGACAGTGACATGAAAACCAATTAGTTCGCAGTTGAATGTTGTTTCCGACCTCTGGTTCCTTAGTTGATCAGCGGTCGTTACCTCTTTTATAGAAAACACAACAGGGTCAGCCTGCTTGGTCAGCTAGATAAGAACAACTGAATCAATCTTAACAAGTGTTATCTTGTCGATTGGCAGAAAATTAATCTGCACCAAATTTGATTTGAATTTTTAAGCAAAAATGCTCACAATTGTTAGTTCTAGCTTCGCAAAAGTGTATGTTTGCTGGTTTTGGACTGTTGGTCAAACAAAATAGGCTATTTCCATATGTTCACTTGGGTTGAGGAAAATCTGATGGAACGATGAATCGATAAATAAATAAAATAATCGGCACATTTAATTGATAATGAACATTAATGTTTTTAAGCATTCATGCAAACAATCCTGGAAGCTCTCCTGTAAAGTTCTACTTTGTTTTACTAAAAGTTACAGCTCAATACAAATAAAAACAGTGAAAGAAGGTAATATTATTTATCACTTGTAGGATTTAATAATCAGGTATCTTCCACATAGAGAGGACATATTTCTCCCCTTTCTAACTCAAAGTTGGCTCTTACTAGCCATTGTGCACTGTGCCTGATTGAGAGGCTGATAAGTGGTGCAATTGTAAGAGCTTTTTACAGTAGTTTTACTGGAAAATGTGTCCCCTTTTAAAACTTCGACTTTTGGTCTGCAGTGCTTAAATGCAACATTCACTATTTATGTAATGTTCACAATGTATCAAAGTTATATGGGACAGTGGGGACAAAGAGACCTGCAGCAGCCAGGAAAATTACCAGAGGAATCATTTTTATTCATACATTCAAAAGCCCAACTATTTAAAAAGTTGCTGTGTTTCAGTGGCTGAACATCCTTTATTAAAATCCCACCAGATCTTAACTGCTTATTTATCTCTGCCAGCCTCTTTCCTTCTTCTGTCATGCGCGCAGATCGGGACAAAGAAGTCGGGATTGTTCAGCTCCTTACCGAGCTACTGTGGTGTAGACAATCCAGGAAACAAAAATAAATTCCTTTCATTATCTCCTCCATCCTCCTTTCTGCCCCTACCCCGGTCACTGGACATAAAAAGCGCCTTCATGCACTTGGCAGAGCTGTCGGTGTTAAATTACCTGGGACCTGTGCCTCCCTCAGCATTCCACAGTAATTAAGAATATCTGCAGGGTCCACAGCAACCGTCCACGGGAGAAAAAAAGAGGGCAAAGAGAGAAAAAAGAAAAAAATGGGTATCTATTTCAGCATAGTGTGATGTCATCAGAGTGGGAGCTGCTGCTGCCTGCTGGTCTAGTTTTGTTTTTATTTTTTAGAAAGTAGAAAAGCTGTTGCGTATCGCTTCTCCTCCCCGTTCCCCGTCCCCTCCCTGTTCTCAGTCACTAAAAGAAAAGAAGTGAAAAAAAGTGAGTGATTGTGTCAGGATGCAGAAGATGGCTTAGAAGTGAAGTCATATGGGCCATGCTGACATAAGGGGGAATTAGAAAGGGGGGGGGAGGGTCTTGTGTCCACCAATCAACATGTGCTGGAGTGGCTCTGAGCACAAATGGAGTTGTGGCAGATGTTGTCTGAATAATGAGCGGGGGCGGGGCATGAAACCCTCTGCCAGGAGGGTGTCTGTCATTACGAGGGAGCGATGAGAGAGAAAGGGCAGGCTTTTTTGTTTATCCAGGAGTACCAGCTCTCCTCAGAACTGCACACTGCTTTTGGTAGAGCCTGCTGGATTTGTCTGTGGATATTTTCACTTTGCACTGAGGATTTTCCTTTAGCTCGCATGGATGCTGCAAGGACTTCAAGGAAAAGGAAGCACTTTGGACCAGAGGAGTAGTGATTAAGTTTTGGCAATGCACGAAGAAGAGCCTAGAGGAATATTTTTGGGTTAGGTGACTGTAATGAAAGACTGGATTTTCATTCCTAACATGGAGTATGAAGCTGCTACTCAGTCCTAGCATTTTTCATATTTGTGACATATTTGTATTTCTAAAGCCTTTATTTTATGTATTTAGATCAACTTAATTGTGTCCATAATCTTTAAAATAAAAGCACCTACAGATTTTATTTTGAGAAATAAGTTTAGTATTTCATTCAAGAAAGGAGAAAAATTATAATTTTGCACACAGTTGCTTCTCATGTAAATTGATGACATTGTGCCCCTATTTAAACGACTCAGTGTGCACAACTTATACCTCAAAGGATTTCACTACATCCTTAATATTTTCTTTGTAGTGAGTAGTGACAACTGTTTTAGCATGGGCAAACCGCTGAGCAGACCAGATTGCCTGAGACAAAACCCTTCCTGTGTGGGGAAGGGGGAGGAGGAGGACCTGAACATTGACGACTGCTATGTGCCCCAGAGGTCCATTTATGACACCGTCCGGCTCAACGAGCAGATAGACTCGGGCTCTAAAGGCAGCCTTTCTTCCCGGCACTTCACAGGCACCCTACCTTACACTCACCGCACGCTGGACCTCAGCAGCCTGTGTGGGAATGGAGCTCTATCTGCTTCCAGTTCATTTGAGCTCCGGACCCGCAAACCTGCCATGCTGGACGAGCGTGTGGTCTTTGATGGACTTAGACTCAACGGGCACATAATCCGGGCGACTGATACAGTGCTCCCTAAGTCCCGTCTCCAGGGAGGAGAGAAGAAGGATCATCCGCATCATCGCCGGTCATGGCGGACTTTCGCTCCCACTAATTTGGGCGAGTATGCGAGTCGCAGTGGAACCTTGTGCTCCGGGAGTGTTGAGAGGCCGGGGTTGATCAATGGCAGGAGAGGGCAGAGCATGACCAGCTCACTGACATCTGAAGAGGACTCAGGCCTGTACAGCCCTACTGTGGAGAGGGAGCGACATGCTCATAGATCCCATAAAAGAGCAGGCCCTGGTACAAGGAGCCTCTCATCCTCAGAGGCGATGCACATGTCTGGGGACCTGAGAACTGGGCGATCGCTCAGCTCAGGGCAGGAGGAGTTCCCTTTCTCACCTGCAAGGGACAACCGGTCTCTTTACCACAGTAGCAGCTTGGTACAGGAGCCTCGACAAACAGAATCTGGTGTGGTGGATCTAAGTGAGAAGTATACCCTCAGCAATGGAGAACACAAATACTGCACGGGGAGGTTATCGGTAGGTTCCTCCAGGACTCAAAACGAAAGCTCTGGTTGGCGTTCCCGGACTTTAACCGACTATGATGAGCTATCCACTGCTGAGCTGTTAGAGGATGTGTCATCTCAGGATGACTGTGAGTTGGTTAGCGTGGTGGTGACACAGCCTGAGACATACGGAAACTCTGTAACTCTACCCATAGAGAGCTGCGAGCCAACAAAACTGTGTACTGTGCAACAAGGGGCTTCCAAATACAACATGGAGGAGCTGGAGGAGTTTCTGCAAACAGTGGAGGCCTGTCTGCCTAAAAGTTTACAGACATTCCAGAACGCAGGAGAGCACGAGATAGAGGCTTTACTGACTGCCATCGCTGCGTGTCCTGAAATGGACCCTATGGGTTATTTCTCATCACAGGTGCCCAAAAAAATCCTCTTCCTTCATTTCCGAGTTTTGCAGATTACCTGGTTGAGCACATTTCTCTAGATGATACGCCTCTTTAGATGAGTTTTTCTTGGATGATTTTCTTGGTGTTTTGCTCACGCATCTGATTACATGATGAGTGAAATAGGTTTTGCTCACTAGTTCACCCTTGAAGTCTGTATGTGTTTTGCACAGCTGTGCTTTAATTGTTAGCTGTACTTTTCTAGAAGCCGCTGACTGGTTAGAGGTTTGTTGATGTCAGCTGGAATTTTAACACTAAACCTGAGGTGATGTCGTGGCAGACATGACCAGTTTCTGGATTCAGGATAACTTTCTGGCATCATTTAGGACTTTTTCTTTTAAATCTAGATCTAAGTCATACAATTTTACAATTTCTTGTATTTTTAGTGTTTCCTTTATTATATGTTTTAGAACAGATTTGTATAATGCTCAGTAGTACAAAATCCTGTCATGAGCAATATTGTAATTAAGCTCACTGTAAAATGGGAATTGTTCAGAATTAGTCAAATACTAAATTTGGTCTAGTTCCAAAAATTCTAATAAAAAAAAGTCATCAATGAAATCTCTGGCCTTTACAAATGGAACAATCACCCCGGTTTAATGAACCTCCAAATAAGACTGATGACATTGTAATTTGAGCACTTGTAAAATATTTATTCTGATTTGTTCCATTTGTCTTTAGGCTTTCCAGAAAGAGGACATTGATCCATTGCAGACGCAGCTTCAAGACATCAACTCCCTCGGCCAGGGCCTGATCCAAACCGCTGCCAAAGGCGCCAGCACCAAGAAGCTTGACGATGACCTGGAGGAGGTCAACACAAAGTGGAATACCCTCAATAAAAAGGTTATTTGTTTTACACTGCAAGTCAGACTTGTTGATCTTTGCTTTTGAATATTGGTCATTAGTCAATTTGTAAAGAGGGATTGGCAGTGTAATGAGCCATTTGTCCCTACTATTTGTTATAGTTTTATCCTTTGATGAGTTACTGGGCGCAGTTCAAGTTGACAGGTGACATCTATATTTACCATGTGGTCTGCAGATTGCTGAGCGTTCAGCCCAGCTGCACGAAGCCCTGTTGCATTGTGGGAGGTTCCAGGATGCTCTGGAGTCACTGCTCAGCTGGTTGACTGACACGGAGGAGCTTATGGCCAATCAAAAACCTCCGTCTGCGGAGTTTAAAGTGGTCAAGGCACAGATACAAGAGCAGAAAGTAAGCCGGTATCACGTGGTACAGCAACATAAACACATAAAAACACAGATGTAAAACACACCGCCAGCTCTTTTTTAATCCTTCCACTTCAACACTAGAAAATCACCGCAACATAATGACTTTGCCATTCATCTTACTAAATTGACATTCATTGTTAAACATGAGTGTGGTACACAAAGCTTTTACTTAAATCGACCCTTAATTTGTGCCTATATATTTACTGCTTTTCACCACCAAGCAACGCTTCCTGTTAAAGCACGTTAAAGGCGCCCAATAACTCTCCTCCTCTGTGTACCTTTGACAGCTTTTACAGAGACTGCTGGATGACCGAAAGCCAACAGTGGAGCTGATAAAAAAAGAGGGAGGGAAGGTTGCGGAACTGGCAGAGTCTGTGGATAAGGAGAAGGTTGCAAAAGAGATCGAATGCCTGGGCCAGAGGTGGGACGCTCTGCTCAAGAGGGCTGAAAACAGGTCTGTATAAACATCTGTAATGTTAAACCTCCTCGATGCAATGCTGCAGTACATTTCACAATTAAGTGTTGCTAATGAAAAGTTTTCCTAAGTTTTAATTTGTTGTGATTTTTCCACTCCTAATTGAATTTGTGTTTTTGCCTAGATATAGATTTGGTAGTATTCACAATGTATCAAGAATGTCAAACTCCTCAATTCCCCTTTATTTTCCTCCCACTGAAGCTTAAATGAAGAGTTCAACAATTTAGGAATTGCACTCGAATATGATGCTAGCTGGCAGCCAGTTAGCTTAACACAATGACTGGGGCAGGGAGAAACAGCTAGCCTGGCTGTATTCAAAGGTAACAAGACCCGCGTACAAGCACGAGATGTGACTAATTTGTGAGATTTAGAGGCGCTAGTACATAGATTTTGAAGATAAGTTTTGATTAGTTTTTGTGTTTTGCCTGGGTTTGGATTTGGGAATATTTTAAATGTATTTAGAACATAAAAACTCCCAAATGGACTCCTCACTTTCCTCTTAACTGAAGATTAATTCATAGAGAGATGGTTGATATTCAGAAATGTGTCTGGATCAGTCCACTGTGCACTGCACTTTCTCAAGTTCAAAAGGGGACTGTGAAACATTATTTAAATGTTGCTAATATTTCCCAGTAACCCATTTTTTCTAGGTTTGGTTAAAATAAAAATGCCTATCACTCTGTCCATTGCTGTACTTTACTCCTAGTCCAATGCTGTTATTATCTGCATAAATATATCAGGCACAAGCAACTGGAGAGCATCTTAGTGGTCACTCAGCAGTTCCATGAGACCCTAGAACCCCTGAGCGAGTGGCTCGCAGCCACAGAGAAACAGCTAGCCAACTCCGAACCCATCGGCACTGAGACGTCTAAGTTGGAAGATCAAATCTCTCAGCATAAGGTAATATCCATCATCTTATATCATTACCATATGTTTTTGGATGTTTTTATGACACAATCAGTTAAGTTCAGCTGAATTTAGTTTAATTTGCTCATTACTCTAAGTTTATGCTTTTCATTATTTCCCACTCCATTTCTCATTTGATTTCTGTTTCATATTTTTGTTTTATGTGTGTGTTTTCTGTTTTTTGTCATATCTCCTTGGTTGGTTTCCCATCCCCTGTGGTCAGGCCTTAGAGGAGGAGATTATGAATCACAGTAAAGACCTGTTTCAGGCCGTCAGTCTGGGTCAGATGCTCAGAACTGTGAGCTCAGTGGACGATAAGGAGTTTGTTCAGTCCAAACTGGACGCCACCCAGGCCAGTTACATAGAGCTCCAGGAGCGATGCAGGAGGAAAGCCGAGATGCTGCAGCAAGCTCTGGCAAACGCCCAGCTGTTTGGAGAAGATGAAGTGGCGCTCATGAACTGGCTCAACGAGGCACACACGAGGCTGAGTGAAGTGTCCGTGGAAAACTACAGAATAGATGTTCTTGAAAAGCAGCTGGCAGAACAATGGGTACACACTCCTCCTCAGGCCGACAAGCATTGTGTTTTCCTTTCATTTAAGTTGCATCAATCATGTTTCAGTTGATTTTAGTCATTTGTGTGCCATGCATTCTTTACAGTGGAATGTGTGTTGTCACTCTCAATGACTTTCTACGGTTGTGTTTTCATTTTAGACACTACAAAGTGATATTGAGCTGAGGAAGAAGAATGTTGACCAAGCCATCTGTAATGGGATGGAGCTTCTGAAGCAAACAACAGGCATGTCTGACTTTATACTTACAGCTATCACACTTCATACACAGTATGATGTATTACAGTCTCTGTAATGTATATCATACATTTTCTCGCATTATTTAGGTAACAACAGACAAAATCTTTCTCAGAAGGGTAGATGACAAAATTAGTTGAAATCTTATTTTCAGAAAGTTTCCCATCTGGCAATTAATTTAAAGAAGTAGTTAGATGATGAGATACCACTACCAGTCTTGTTGTCAGACAAGATAAGAAACCAGAGATTACTTCAGGAAGTTGCTATGCCTGGAAATAGTCTGGCATACAACCCCTGTAAAACCGCAGTTTCACTTAGTTTTTTGTATAGGATAAGCAAACTAGATATAACATTTAAATTAGTGATCTTTAGAGGTTCTGGTAAACATATTTTGTTACATTTGAACAGAACAAGCCTAGCTATTTACTCTTGTTTCCAGCCTTTATGCAAAGCTAAACTAAGCGGCTGCTGGCTCTAGCACTCTCGTGGTATCATGGTATCTTGTCTTCTCGTCTAACTCTCAAGAATGCGAATAAGCATATTTTCCAAAATGTTAAATTATTCCTTTAATTGTTAAGGGGTTCATAATTAGGTGTGAAACATGCATTCATTCTTATTTTGGCGTCCAAGTTTGGTCCAAGTACCAATGGAAATGAAATGTGTGGCCTGTGTGACCATTTTGTCTTTAAAACATCAGACAGAATTTGTGCATGCTGCTGCTTACATGAGTCTTGCTCCTGTCTGTGTTCAGCCAAGCCAGCAGCATACTGTACTTCCCTACAGTAATTTACAGCAGAAATGCAAATCTCCTTAAACTAATGTGTATTAATTTACTATAAATAGGTGATGAGGTGGTTGTTATCCAAGGCAAACTGGACGGAATAAAAACAAAGTACGCTGAGATCAACACAATGAGTGACAACGTTTTGAAGACATTGGAGCGGGTTTTGAGTCTCTCTACTAAGCTGCAGAACACCCATGAGGATCTGAGCTCCTGGCTCGAGAAAGTCGAGACTCAGACCAGCGCTTTTGCTGATCAAGAGCTGGTGGGCGAGCAGCTCCTTCAAGCACAAAACAGACAGAAGGTAAGAGTTTCTACAGACGTACGGTTCATATTTGTCCCTAAAGAAATGAATACCAAATGTAATCTCTAAAACAACAATAATAATGATGATAATAATAATAATAATAATGATAATGTTAATAATAATAAAACAACCTTTAACACTCTGTGAGCTGCTTTACAAAAACACAACAAGTTGGCGTTTTCTGTGTTTGTTATGTAATCTTGTCCAGGCCTTGTTGAAGGAGACCAAAGACCAAAAACCTGTGATGGACAAGCTGAATGAGTTGAGCAGTTCTCTCCTGGATCTGATCCCCTGGCACACTCGCGAGGGTCTGGACAAGCTGGTGACTGAGGACAATGAGCGGTACAGAGCAGTCCGCGACACCATCACCCAGCAGGTCGATCAGATCAACGCCGATATACTCAAGTCACAGCAGGTACACCAGAGAAATTGATAAATGTCTTTTTCTCATTTGGCTTTAATTTCTGTCTTCTCTAATAAGGAGGTGAAACGCTTTCAGCAATGCAAACTGATTTTTGTCTGTTTCCAGTTTGAACAGGCTGCAGACACTGAACTCTCTTGGCTGACTGAAGCTGAGAGGAAGTTGCTGTCGATGGGCGAGATCAGGCTGGAGCAGGACCAAACCACAGCCCAGCTCCAAGCACAGAAGGTTAGCCTGTCATACTGTGTGTCTGTGTATGGATAGACACAGGCTTCCATTTCAACAAAGTATAGTAAACACTGCGGTTTGTTTTGTAACGTCCAGCCAAACTCACTCTACCGGTTTTCCAGATCTTCTCCATGGACATCATGAGGCACAAAGATGCTGTGGATGATATTGTGAAAACAAGAAAGGCCATCATGAACAGCAAAACCCCGGAGGAGAAAGAAATCTTGAAGGTGAAAAGAATTTATTTCCTGTTTGAAACAAATTAATTAATTAAGAATATGCACTCAAGTTAAAGGATCTTCTTGGTTTTCAATCAGGCCAAGACCCAGACTCTCTTGGAGAAGTACGGCATCGTCAGTCAGCTGAACTCAGAGCGCTGTCTGCAGCTGGAGCGAGCCCAGTCTCTGGCCAACCAGTTCTGGGAGACCTATGAGGAGATGTGGCCGTGGCTTCAGGAAACCCTGAGCACCTTCAGCCAGCTGCCTCCACCTGCCATCGAGTATGAAACACTCAGGCAGCAGCAAGAGGAACTCAGGGTAAGATGGCAACAGAAGCAGATGTTCAGTGCAACACTTTTGCCAAAGCAATGAAAAAAACTTAACATTGCTTCCTCTCCAGCAAATGCGAGAGCTGATTGCCGAGCACAAGCCCCACATCGACAAGATGAACAAGACCGGCCCTCAGTTACTTGAACTCAGCCCAGTGGAGGGAGCGCCCATCAGAGAGAAGTACACAGCTGCAGACCAACTTTACACCCAACTCAAGGCTGATGTCAAGCAGAGAGCTGCCACTCTGGATGAGGCCATCTCCAAATCCACCCAGGTAAGGAACAGTTCTTCACTGGGAGTTTCTAAGGAAACATCATATTTTTCTCTACCATTGTTTAATATTTATTTAGAATATTTGGTAACACTTTCTATGAAGGTCATCACTATAATGACTTATGCATATATTTATAACAGGATATAATGCGTCCATAAGACATTATAACAGTTGTTATAATCATAACATAATGCATTAGGCACTATAGCAAAGTTCATAACGTATTATGACCTTTTGATTTAATGTTTTATAACTAATAGTAATACCAGTTTATATTACTGTGTGGCAAGAATCTCCGACCATGTTCCATAACACATTATAACCACCGACTCTGCCTTGTTATAAATACACTTTAGTCACAATTAAGAATTAGTGATGTAAAATGGAATAATAGCTTATATTAATGTTTAATGTTATATAGCATGTCTTTGTTTGCTTTAAGTAAAGTGTTAAAATATCTATCCCTGTATAATATATTACAGGTGGACATGATACCATATGAACTAATTATAAGACCTTATAACACGTCATTGTTTGCTTTAAGTAAAGTGACACGCATTTTGCGCAGGAAAACAACTTTTATTTATGTTTCTTCCGTTTATGAACAATCAGTATGAATTTTGAACATTTTGCGGTTTAGCACAAAAACACAACATAATTACATCCAGAAAACTCGTTGTCAGGGTGGTGAAAGATCACTCAAGAGAAGACCTGTTGCCGACCAACATCTGTAAGAAGAGGCTCAGATGTTGTTGATGAATGGCGAGCCTATGGACAGGCCCTAACAGATGCAGTGGACAATTAAAGACAACCACTTCACAAAACGTAGCCTATTAAAAGACATTTTAAAGTAATTAAATGGGAACACTGTTAGCTAGCGCTAACTGCCTTCACTTTTCCAGCAGTTGCGGAAACAACAGACTTAATGGACACACTGTGACCTACACTGCACATGTTCTGCCAGACTGACAACTTACTAAGTAACTTAAATATTTTCCTCCGCTAACTTTCACCGTCACGTTCTGCTGCTCGCGCTCTCTCATTCATAATCAATTCAGAATCTTCCACGTCCGCATCGTAAAGAAGTAAACTATACTGTACTAATGCTCACGGAACGCAAATGGCGGAACATTCAGAACTGCGGAAGTGCGGGCGCCCGGACAGTCGCAGGTGTGCACATAACAGAGACCAGTGATCTCTGTTATTGGTCTGAGCCCAGTGTTGTATTCGACGCATTTCGCCGCTGCTGAATGAATGACCACGCTACTAAAATTTCACGCGGTCATCAATATGACCGGCACACCGTGCAGCAACACTCATGGCTGCTTTGGTTCCTGTGTGCAAAGCGAGTGTGTGTGCCAGCGAAATATTTAAATTACTTCGTAAGTTGTCCGTCAGGCAGAACATGTGCAGTGTAGGTCACAGTGTGTCCGAAAGTCTGAAAAGTGAAGGCGGTTAGCGCTAGCTAACAGATCCCGGTCTGTAAAGCACGGTTTTGGCTGCAGTGTAACGTTAGCTAAATTAGTAACGGAGTAATGTTAATTAGTTGCGTGTCATTACTACATAACTTGTTGAGGAATGAGAACAGCAGGTTGAAGCTAAACTGGTGTCCTGTACACATACTGTACATCCTGATAGTTAAGTTAAATTATATTTCAGTGTCCAGAGGAGTCAGACAACTGGTTGTTAAAGTAGGATGCTGGTGACCACGGAGGAGCTGAGGCTACTAAAGTAAATCAGGGATGTAAACTAGTCCTTTTAAGCAGTTGAGGAGACATTTCTTTTGGATTTTAATGTGCAAACGAAATGCTTAGTAATTATCCAGAAATTACACAGAAAAAAAGATGCATCAAGATGGATCGCTGCCCTCTGATTTGTAATCAAATCGAATCGTGAGGTGCCAAGAGATTCTCATCCCTACTGCCCAAACAGTGTTCCCATTCAATTACTTTAAAATGTCTTTTAATAGGCTACGTTTTGTGAAGTGGTTGTCTTTAATTGTCCACTGCATCTGCAGTGCAACTATCAACATCTGAGCCTCTTCTTACAGATGTTGGTCGGCAACAGGTCTTCTCTTGAGTGATCTTTCACCACCCTGACAACGAGTTTTCTGGATGTAATTATGTTGTGTTTTTGTGCTAAACCGCAAAATGTTCAAAATTCATACAGATTGTTCATAAACGGAAGAAACATAAATAAAAGTTGTTTTCCTGCGCAAAATGCGTGTCACTTTACTTAAAGCAAACAATGACGTGTTATAAGGTCTTATAATTAGTTCATATGGTATTATGTCCACCTGTAATATATTATACAGGGATAGATATTTTAACACTTTACTTAAAGCAAACAAAGACATGCTATATAACATTAAACATTAATATAAGCTATTATTCCATTTTATATCACTAATTCTTAATTGTGACTAAAGTGTATTTATAACAAGGCAGAGTCGGTGGTTATAATGTGTTATGGAACATGGTCGGAGATTCTTGCCGCACATTAATATAAACTGGTATTACTATTAGTTATAAAACATTAAATCAAAAGGTCATATTAAATTATGAACTTTGCTATAGCGCCTAATGCATTAAGTGATTATAACAACTGTTACAATGTCTTATGAACGCATTATATCGTGTTATAAATATATGCATAAGTCATTATAGCAATGACCTTCATAGAAAGTGTTACCGAATATTTTATAAATATGTACAATTTTATGTCACAATAAAATTTGAAGAAATGGCTGCTTCCTGACAGTGTTTGCATGGGCCCTGTCCATCAATGATAACATTTTAAAGACATAATGCTTTTTTTTTAATATTGCCAATCTGCCATTAAGCCAAAATTGTTTGATATAATAAAATATATTATTAGAATTTGGGGCTCCAATAGAGATCACAAGTAGCTATAATGCAGTAGCTTTTACATGTTGACGGTGTTTTACTGTGTTTTTATTGTCTAAAACTTTATTCATAGATTACCAATTATTTTCTTGATTTGTCAATTCATTGTTCAGTCTATGAAATGTCAGAAAATAGTGAAGAATGTAACAAATCACAGTTTTCCCGGGGCCCAGGTTCATGTCTTGTTTTGTTAATCCAACACTTCATTCACAATAATACAGAAAAAAGCAGCAAATTCTCGTATTTGAGAAGCTGAGATTTTTTTGGCATTATGGTTGAACAGCTTTTGAAACAATTAATTGGCTATCAAAATAATAAAATAATGTTCAGTCGACTGACTAATTGAATAATCGATTTATCTTTTCAGCCTTACTTTGTATACAGGCATTTGGGTGATGTCTACAAAGAATTAGTTTTCTAGGACTGTTTCTTGTTAGAAGCACAGTGTCGTCCTGTCACAGGAGAGCCAAACATGTTACTAAAGTGTATAAAGTATAAATACAAACTAAGTGTCCTTTCCCTCGCTCTCAACCAGTTCCATGATAAAATTGACCCGATGCTGGAATCCCTGGAACGGATCGCTGAACGCCTGCGCCAGCCTCCGTCCATCTCAGTGGAGGTGGACAAGATCAAGGAGCAGATTACTGAAAATAAGGCCGTCTCTGTGGATTTGGAGAAACTGCAGCCCTCTTATGAGACACTGAGGCAGCGAGGCGAAGAGATGATCGCACGATCGGAAGGAGCAGACAAGGACATATCTGCCAAAGGTATGAGAAATCATTCCATCTTTGTCTTATGTTTTCCTTAGTTTTGTTAAGAAACACATGCTGATAATTGTAGTCTTCTGTTTGTAATCTACATTTAATGGTGGTAATTGATTTACTGTACATTTGTTAGTAATGCTCACTTGACTTTTTAACCCCACCACAAGCTGTACAAGACAAGCTGGACCATATGGTGTTCCTCTGGAGCGACATCCAGGCCTTACTGGAGGAGCGGGAGGCGAAGCTGCTGGATGTGATGGACCTGGCAGACAAGTTCTGGTGCGATCACTGCGCTCTCATCGTCACCATCAAAGACAGCCAGGACCTGCTGAGAGAGCTGGAGGAGCCCGGAGTTGATCCTTCAGTCGTCAAACAGCAGCAGGAGTTTGTGGAGGTCAGAGAGAAGATTGAACTATTAAATCAACCAACGGGTAATTAAGAGTGATGGTAACATTTATATCTTTTACAAAACTGCTTTTTATTCCTGCAGGGATTTAAGGAGGAGATTGATGGACTGCAGGAAGAGCTTGATGTGGTTCAAAACCAGGGAGCAGAGCTTATGACTGCCTGCGGGGAACCTGATAAACCTGTGATAAAGAAGAGCATTGATGAGGTAATAGATAGAACAGTCAAAATCATCTTTTCACAGACATTCTTTCTTCTTCACTTGCTGATATATTGGCATGTGTGCGGCTTGTGCTGAAGTACTCGTGTCCTTTTTTCCAGGTGAATTTGGCGTGGGAAAATCTCAATAAGACTTGGAAGGAGAGAGTGGAGAGACTGGAAGAGGCCATGCAGGCTGCTGTGCAGTTTCAGGATGGCTTGCAGGTACTTTTATCCCAGTTTCATTGTATTTGAAAGGAATCATCTGAACACAGTGGCAAGTTATTGTGAAGTGTAACACAGTAAGATGTTTTCATGTAAAATGTCTGGGCTTTTTGTTTACTTGAAGTGAAGTTCTTCCTAAACTTAATCCTAATGTTACTCACACCACAGATCTTTTAATTACTTTTTTTTCCATTTGTCTTTATTGTATAACTAATAATAGAACATACTTAATATGCAAACGTTTGAAAGTTAAACACGCATGGTGGATCAGCCAGTTTTTAAGATGAAACCACAGATTACAGCTCTTTTTTATTGAACTTGATTGAAGTGATACGACATTTTATGAGACCCGTTAATTTTGAAACAATAAACACCAACCACAGGGCTTCATTATATTTGGCACAAACTTTGACTCGTGTTTACAAAGTTCCTGTAAGATCTTTTTATGGCAGGGAAGGAAGTATCTTCTACACGGCTGCTTTCATTTTTATTAACTTTAAGGATCACACTGACACAATGCAGAACATAGTATTAAAGTCCAGGGCTTGTTTTTAATGTTTACCTAAATTGTCATCCATACAGATTTACAACAGCCCGGCTGTAAGATTTCGTGCGTAACATGACACTGAATGTGAAACAAGACTCCCTGCACACTAAGCTTTGTTTTCTCTCAGTAACAATGGTTTTCAACTTGTAACTTGCAGGGTATGTTTGACTGGGTGGATATTCTGGAGAGCAAACTGGATTCAATGTCACCTGTAGGCACAGACCTGGAAACTGTCAAGCAGCAGATTGTAGAGCTCAAGGTACAGTCTTGCATTTGTGTTTGAATAGAAAACAGCAGAATATTTGTATATGCTGAAAACAGGATAAGTCACTTTTGCACTGGTTTATTAATGTACCTTTTTGTCTGTACTGCAGTATTTACTGTTATAGAAGCTTTGTCATATACCAGCTGTGTTTATATTGAATGCTTGATTCATAACCTGCGCCACTTGGCCTGTTTTGCACAGGTACAAAAGCTGTACAAGAATAGCCTCATAAAGCAGTCACATCGTGTTTGATGTACAATAAGACAAATCTTCTGCTGAAAAGGCATTGCTGGAAGAGTCAGCTGTATTGTCCATAAAGCTTTGTACTTCTGTTGACTGATTGGGTGTACCACCGTGTGTGCTGGTGTTTCAGGAGTTCAAAGTAGAGGCGTACCAGCTGCAGATTGAGATGGAGCGCCTGAACCACCAGGCGGGCCTCCTGCTGAAGAAGGTGACGGAGGAGGCTGATTGCTGCGCCATCAAGGAGCCAATGTCCGAGCTCAAGATGCTCTGGGACAACCTGGATGAGAAGATCATCAGCCGACAGGTGAGGAAGGGGAATGTGCAGGGAAAGCTTCATCCCAAAATGAAAAGTTATGTAATAAAATCAAATATCACGATTTGAAAATGCTGATCAAAAGAAATATTGGTTAATGGATACTTTAAATACAGTATGACTGGCTCTCTATGAATCATATTTGTAATTAACCTCCACAGATCCTTATGGGCTAGAAAACAGACTCAACAATGTATCAAACAGGCCGTGGAATGTGTTGTGTTGTTTGCATGTCAAGTGCTTTCACTCGCTGTAATATCTAATGGTTTATCTGTCATTAATCCAGCACAAACTGGAGGGAGGCCTCCTGGCACTGGGCCAGTTCCAGCACGCACTGGACGAGCTGCTGGCCTGGATGAGCCACACTGAGGAGCTGCTCAACGAGCAGAGGAAGGCCGGAGGAGACCCCAAAGCCATCGAGATAGAGCTCGCCAAGCATCATGTACGCCAAAAGTTTCCCTGCGCAAAGTTGCAGTAGTCAAATCTAATGTGACCACGGGATTAGGAGCATTAGTAGCAGAGTAAAATTGTGCTGCCGACCATACTTTGCATTTCATTTAATCTCAGTAGATTCCAGAGTGTACCTTTGCGCATGCAGATTTAGTTTTGTCCTTTGTGCGTCAGATCCATCCACCCAACGATGTACCATTCCTGGCTTCTTTTGTCTCTACAGGTCCTCCAAAATGATGTGTTGGCTCATAAGGCGACAGTTGAGACGGTCAATAAGGCCGGTAGTGACCTGGTGGAGTCCAGCGCTGGTGAGGAAGCTTCTAGTCTGAAGAGCAAATTGGAGAACCTGAACCAGCGGTGGAAAGCCATACTGGAGCAGACGGCGCAGAGGAAGCAACAACTGGAGGGAGCTCTGCTTCAGGTATAAAAATGATTTTCATCACAACATAATAGGCCTAGGGCTTATTAGTTTTTATCTGTTGTTTAATAAGCTCTGATTGATTCTCCCTAGAGAGCAAGTATGTTATGTCAAAGTTGTGAATTGTTTTCGGAGGAGTGATTTAATTCATTACATTTCAGGCTTTTTAATTTCTACTGCTGATGACCTATTTTGGTAGCAAAATTAATCCAAGGAATTAATAACTCCGACATGCTCATCTCTGAGCCATAGGTTGCTAACAATGAGTGTGTGTGTGACACCTTTTGTCCTGACTCAGGTTGTATTGTGTTGTAGGCCCAAGGTTTCCATGGTGAGATAGAAGATATGCAGCAATGGCTGAAAGACACAGAACGTCAGCTGTTGGCATCAAAGGCTGTGGGAGGCTTACCAGACACGGCCCGGGAGCAGCTTAACGCCCATCTGGTATGTGTTTAACAATATGAAAGGCCGCATACAGATGGCAGGCTTGTAAGGAGACGACTATGTCTTTTCTGTGTTTTACCTCAAGTGTGAAAATTAAATGACACTGCAAAATACACTACTCACACCCCCGCTGTAGAAGATGACAAAAAGCCTGTAAAGTGTTTCAAATTGATTCAGCCATGTCAGACTATAATGAATCTAGGAATGTTTCCCTTCTTTGTTTTCCCTTTCTCTAGCTCAGGACACTTTCACAACAAACTCTCCCGAAAGAAGCATCACTAGTGACATTTTATGGAACCACAAACAGAGGGGATTCCTTGAAAGAAATTCCTTCAATCACATTAGTAACATTATGCTGTTTAAATGTTTTGTGGGAACACGCCTCTGAGAGTCTCAGCAGTGCTCATTATGCTTATGCTTTTACCATTTGTGGACTAGATTTGGATTAACATATAACTTAAGTGCACCGACATCATCACATGCATTTCAGACACTGCGGACTCTCATCCAAGACTAAAGCAGAGCTGTAATTTGCTTGTCTGTTTGACGAAAGCATCACCCTCCCCGTGCCATTGTGTCTGTTTTCTTGCAGGAGTTGTGTTCTGCCTTGGAGGTGAAGGAGGAGCTGTACCAGGAGCTGCTGAACAAGGGTCACCAGCTGCTCACCATGACACCCGAGGGTCCGGACAGCAACACAGAGCAGGACCTCGCCAACCTGAAGGACAAATGGGAAGCGGTGCAGGGGAAGGTCGCTGAAAGAAAGGTATGGAGTTAAGGTTGCAGTGAGGATGGTTAGACCTCCACCGCTCTTAGCTTAATGATTCACAACTTCAGCTTTAGGTCCCAGTGAGAGATCGCTGACATACACTTGTAAGCCTCTAATCCTGGTGCCGATAATGAATGGTGTACGGACAGATTGTTGGAAAGGATACTCAGGATGTGGTTACACTGCAGGCGAGTTGCTGCCTGAGTCAGAGTGGCACAACAGTGTTGCCATAGTGAACAGTTAACAAATGAATAAATTAAATAATAGAGCTAAACTAATATTTGAGCCACAATAAAGACTCATCGGCCGCTGTGTTTTATCTTTTTCTTCCTTTAAAACAACATTTTCTCACTTTTGTGGCTTCAATAAATAAGCATTTACATGGCAACTGTCCCATACCATTCTCACTCCAGATATGGAGCTCCACAATGTGGCTGCTGGAGAGTTTGCTGTAACATTTTGCTTTTGCTTCCTATTTACTTTGGTCCTGTTCCCAGGAATTCAAAGCCTGGTAAATCTTAGAGCAGCACAGAGTTGCAGCTGCTGGCTGAACTCCCTACAGCAACGTGACACTTCTCTAGTCTAAGGTCCTCTTTTTTCAAAGCAAGGAAATAGTATTAAACTGCAGTTCCATATTCAGCAAGACTCTCAACACGACCCCACAGTAAATGAGAGAAACACATTGTAACTCTCACCAGGTTTGTAATGTCATTAACACAGCATTTACGGTCACGTGATGAGCCTGTGCCAGTGGCCTCGGCTGTAACAAATGGTTGTTTTCCAGCGATGGAGTCACTGAGGATGTCTCTTAATTTTTTTTCTTTCAATTAAACGCTCATCATTCCCTATCCGCTACACTGCCAGCCTCTCCAGAGACGTTAACTTCCTCTGTTTTTATAGAGGTCAATGTCTGGCACAAATGGAGTGTAATTGTCTTTTTCCGCCCCCTGTTTATCTGGTGTTGTAGCAACCGAGCAGTTTGTTCATTGTGTAGTGTGATACAGGTTATAATGAAGACAACAGGGTTATTTCCATCCCTGGACCCTAATGGCGTGTTGTGTCTACAGGTGAAACTAGAAGAGGCCTTGACACTGGCCACGGATTTCCACAACTCCCTGCAGGACTTCATCAACTGGTTGACCCAAGCGGAGCAGACGCTGAACATGGTTTCCTCTGCCTCCCTCATACTGGAGACCATCATGTTTCAGATTGACGAGCATAAGGTAATGCTTGTCCAGAGAGAAGGGTTATGCAACCTCTCCAGCTGCTATGATAATGTTTAATTACTTTAGCCAGTAAAACAATTATAAATATCTGAATCATATAGAAAATGGCAGTTATGGCAATAGTATGTTTACTACGTCACGATTCAGCATTGCCTTGACTTAACAACTCCGTCTGTTGGATCATTCATGAATGACATGACCTACACTGTCAATTGAAGAGTCTGTCCTCCCTGACCTAAAGCTCTCTCCTCTCTGCCATGCTGTGCTTTATTTGTGCAGGTGTTTGTGACGGAGGTGAACTCACACAGGGACCACATCATTGAACTGGACAAGACAGGAACACACTTGAAGTACTTCAGCCAGAAACAGGATGTGGTCCTGATCAAGAACCTGCTGCTCAGCGTGCAAGGCCGCTGGGAGAAGCTGGTGCAGCGGTCTGTTGAGCGAGGTCGCCTGCTGGACGACGCCAGGAAGAGGGCGAAACAGGTTCTGTTCTGTGCATATTTATACTGTGTTTCAAATAGGCATTGTTTCACTGCTGTTAGGACTTTTTTATTATCATTGGAAAGCTCTGGAAATAGTATATGAAGCCTGTTTCATATTCTGTGTGCAGCTTTTTTATAGCATTTTCATTAGAGTGGGTCCTTTTCTGTTCCTTGGGCCTGAAAACCTAATCATCATTTAAACATTTCACAGGACTCAGCAATAAATCAAGTGAAATCATACCTTTTCAAACTACTACACTGTGTTTATTTCTTTATCTTTCATTAGTTCCACGAAACTTGGAATAAACTGATGGAGTGGTTGGACGAATCTGAGAAGACTCTGGACTCAGAAGTGGAAATTGCCAATGATCCGGGCAAAATCAAGATGCAGCTGGCGCAGCACAAGGTGAATGAGCATCGTCTTATCACGGTTTACCGGGAAAAGAATGAAAGTAGAAATAACCAGGGACCTTTTGACAGCATCGACAGCAGAGGTTCATTCATTAACAGAAACAACGTGTGCATCCAAACCATTTGTTTTACGGGAAAACTGTTTGAAGCCTGTTTAACAAAGATGTGCAACACTGTAGAAAGCTACCTTTCAAAAACAAACTTTTTTTCCTTGAATTCTTTCAATGTTTTGCAGACTGAAAGCTGTTTAATGCACCATGTTTAATGTGTAATGTATGAGAGTTGGACAATTTCTGCAGTGAAAGCTATTTATGGGAATTACAGTATCTACAGAATGCAGTAGTTGCGTGTTTGCTTGCATTGCAGACTGCCCAGTCCCTTATTGTTGTCTTTGCAGTGTTATGTGGTAATGTACTAATGCTATCATAATCCTGGGATTGACCAAATATAGTAGGGATGGCCTTGCTTTTGGATACTTTTAATCTCTGTGGAACAGTGGCTCTTGAGTTTTGACCCCTTTTTTTGCAGTGTCTTCTTAATCACAAAGCACACACACACAGATTAGGATATTATCTGACAAGCCAAGAGTAGCAGGAAGAAAATCCTCTGAGAAGGTTCACTGTAACACTGCGCATCTGATGAGAGAGAATTACATCCACTAAACTTGACTCTCATCAGCTTGTTCATTTTCGAAATGCAGTAACATGACTTTATTGGTTGGACGATGGACTCTTTTCTGACAATATTTCTCATTGACAGGAGTTCCAAAAGGCTCTGGGCAGCAAACACTCAGTATATGACACCACGTCTCGAACAGGGCGGGCCCTGAAAGACAAGACCTCCCTTCAGGATGATAACCAGAAGCTGGACGACATGCTGAGTGAACTGAGGGATAAATGGGACACTGTTTGTGGCAAGTCAATAGAAAGGTGAGGATACATCTTCCCACATCTGTTGCTGTATTTTTACCCATCAGCCACTAGTGTAATGATGTAATGATATGTGCCCTCCTGCAGACAAAACAAACTCGAGGAGGCCCTGCTGTTCTCCGGCCAGTTTACAGACGCTCTCCAGGCTCTCATTGACTGGCTGTACAGAGTGGAACCTCAGATGGCTGAGGACCAGCCTGTACATGGAGACATAGACTTGGTTCTCAACCTCATAGACACCCACAAGGTAGAAAACAACACCTAAAGGTCAGGGAATGTACCACTGCTGGTTGAACGCTGGTCTTTAAAGAAGTCTTTAGTGGTAGCATTGAAACCCAACTTCAAAAAGAAGCATAAAAGTTTTCACTGATGCATTTACACCGCCCTTTGCTTTCATCAGTGATTGTTTCTTATCACAATAGGAGACAATGAACACTTGAACCACACAAGGGTTGGACTATAAAAGGGGCAGCACTGTAGTACCTTTCTATTGATTGTCCCTGTTCTTTGGAGCTTTCTGTCGAGCAGGCTGTGAAAAACTGATGCTGTTATGTTTGCATAACAGTTTCCCATAGTACTTGAAATTATAGATAGCAGAAATATGCCTGAATTGCACAAATCATTGTAACTTAGATAATTACCTAATCTTACACATGTGAGACACCGTGACTCACACTAACGTTTTTTGAAGGATTTTGACTCTTTGCATGTGTCCTTCGCTGATTGGTCACTGCAGGTTTTCCAGAAGGAGCTGGGAAAAAGGACAGTGAGCGTTCAGGCCCTCAAACGTTCAGCCAGGGAGCTGATTGAGAGCAGCCACGATGACTCGTCCTGGGTCAAAGCCCAGATGCAGGAGCTGAGCACTCGCTGGGAGACGGTGTGCAACCTCTCGGTGTCCAAACAAGCCCGGCTGGAGCAGGCCCTGTGTCAGGTACCGTAGAACCCCTGCAAGCATTAGATAGAGGGTAAAACTAACTCTGTGAGCCTGTCTGACTCTTTGTCCCCTGGTTGCAGGCTGAGGAGTTTCACTCCACTGTTCATATCCTGCTGGAGTGGCTGGCTGAGGCAGAGCAGAGTTTGCGTTTTCATGGCAGCCTGCCTGATGATGAGGAGGCTCTGCAGGCGCTTATCGAACAACATAAGGCAAGCATTGCAAATATAATTGTTTTTTTAAATCTTTAAACTTTAAGTTTAAGTTTAGTTTTTAAAGTTGTTAAACAAAATAAATACATGAAACGCTGGCGAGTCTTTTGCTTGAGTAAACAGCTGAGACTCTGGGATTCTGTGATTACACCATGCCTGGGTGCAATGTCATCTTCCATGCCAAAAGTGCAGTGTTCTCTTTTTCTTAACAATGATTTCATCTTATGAAATAGCTCTGCCTTGCTCCAATATTAAAACAACTTCATGAGCAATGCTTTGTTTTTTTATGTTTGCTGAAAACAATCCAATTCTAGCTAAAACTCTTTTCCATTCGCTGTTATTTAGGAGTTCATGAAGAAACTGGAGGAAAAGCGAGTGGCACTAAATAAAGCAACCAATATGGGGGAGGCTATTCTGACCATCTGCCATCCAGACTCTATCACAACCATCAAACACTGGAACACCATAATTAAAGCCCGGTTTGAAGAGGTCAGTTCACAGCTGCATGCCTGAATATATGCCTTTTCTGCTCTCCTCTTTCATATCCACAGATATGACAGAACATAATTTGGATTTTTTGGTGGTGTGGATAGTTGCCCTATGTTGCTTTAGCATATCATTTCCTGTGCCTCATCACACAAAAGGAATTGCTCTGTCTCTCTATAGTATGAGTGATGTGGGAATGTTACTGTTACAGGTGCAGGCTTGGGCCAGGCAGCACCAGCAGCGACTGGCCACGGCCCTCACTGAGCTGTTAGCCACTCAGGAGCTGCTGGAGAATCTGCTGACTTGGCTACAGTGGGCTGAGACCAACCTCAACGATAAAGACAAGGAACCGCTGCCGCAGGAGATCGAGGAGGTCAAAGGCCTCATAGCAGATCACCAGGTAAAACAAAACTGCATATAGAAATGATTCTACCATAGTGTTTAAGTCATGTACGGTTTGATATTTGCTTTAAATCAAAACTGTACCATTTCTGCTCTTTGTCAAAACTGTACTGGTAGTATGTTTTGATCACAGTAGTCAGCTGTCAGTGTCCATGTACCAACCTGGAAGCATGCTTGTTGTTTTTCCCTGCAGGCATTCATGGAGGAAATGACCAGGAAGCAACCAGATGTTGACAAAATCACCAAGACACACAAAAGGAAGGCTGCTGTGGAGCCCCAAATCCAGTCCCAGATCCCTGTGCTTGGCAAAGGAAGAGCTGGAAGTATGTACCCCTCAGATGCCCCCTAATAGATAGTGACCTGAGCCACCTGGCCCGGTGTTGAGTCACTGCTTGGTGACACGACATCCTCATCTTGTCCATTTTCAGCACCTGGAATGATGTCATTGCTAATCTATTCCTGTTGCTGACTCGGTGAGAACACAGTCACTGTGAAGGTTTTTTGTCTTTCACTTACAGGAAAACGCTCTCCCACACAAACGATGTATGCGTCAGCTACACAGGCGCCCATTGAAACCAAGAACCCCAGGGTTAACCTGCTGGTCACCAAGTGGCAGCATGTGTGGCTTCTGGCTTTGGACAGAAGGAGGAAACTCAATGATGCCATGGACAGACTGGAGGAGGTAATCAAGCACTCAGGTTTAACACAAACCTGCTCCTAGTGTTATTGCAAATACTATTTTTCTCTGCAAATATGGGTTTTTTCTTGTTGTTCATATCACCCTTTATTTTTTCTGTGCAGTTGAAGGAATTTGCCAACTTTGACTTTGATGTGTGGCGGAAGCGCTACATGCGCTGGATGAACCATAAAAAGTCTCGCGTCATGGACTTCTTCCGCCGCATTGACAAAGATCAAGATGGCAAGGTGACCCGGCAGGAATTTATAGAGGGTATTCTCTCCTCCAGTAAGTGTCACACATACAAACACACAACTGAACAGCATGTACCCCAGCCAGCAAAATGCTCATTTTGTAACTCTTAATGGCTCTTCAATAGAATTCCCTACCAGTCGTCTGGAGATGAGCGCCGTTGCAGACATATTTGACCGAGACGGGGACGGCTACATTGACTACTATGAGTTTGTGGCAGCTCTTCATCCCAACAAGGACGCTTACAAACCACTAACAGATGCTGACAAAATTGAAGATGAGGTGATACAAACTCTCTTGCCCAGAATTCCTAGTTCTAGAGACGGGTTTAGGGAATTGTGGTGCAATAAAAATGTTCTTCTCTGTTTGTAGGTTACACGTCAAGTAGCAAAATGCAAATGTCCAAAACGATTCCAAGTGGAGCAAATTGGTGCCAACAAATACCGGGTAAGCAGATTTTAATCTGTCACATTTAAGTATGTCTCAACAAATACAAGTAAGGCCATGATTGTGAAATGTTTTACATATTAGTAGCTGAATTTCATGGAAAAACCCAGAGGAAGGTAATAAGCATTGAAAGTGCTACAAAAAGTGTCAATACATGCTAAAGACTCTAACTTTTCTATATTTTTATTGTTCTTCACATTACCAGTTTTACCTTGGAAACCAGGTACATATGAAAGCCCTCTTCTGTTTTTACCCTTCTGTTCTGTGTCTTATCAAACCTTATGTCCTTTTTCATCTGCCATGTTTGCTTTCCAAATAACACTCTGCCCAAATTCCTGGCTGATGTTTCCAGACTGAAACTCAGAAGTAGAAATAAAAATGTGTGGCCATCTGATTTAATCCCTAAGGAACACTGGCCTAAAATGTGTTTTCAGTCCAATGATTTATGGTAGCTGAATGTGATCCAAACATAAAATCTTATTATTAAAAGGCCCTACATTTAAAGTTTTATGTGGTTATCGCATTTTTCAGAGTATTCTTTTGTTTAGTTTTAAAAAAAGACAATCCAGGTGAAAATGAGTGTAGTAAATGTTTATACGTCTGCTTTTGAGTTTCAGAAAATCTAATGTTAAAGTGCCAATACCATTCCAGCCCATATTTCTTATTGGTCCACGGGCATAAATTCATCTGCTGGGCAGTTTGGAAAATAATGCTTTCTGTGTGCTTGCCTTTGGCGCTTCAGTATCATGGGAATGAATTTACCTCAACATTGGCTGACATACTTTTGTGTAACTGACATTGTTTATTAATTTGTTTTCATAGCTGGGCAACCTTGATGATTTTAATGAATACTTTGCTTTTTATTTTACCTACTGAGTTAATATATTTGCATGTTGATGCTGATATGGGTTCATATGCCACATATGCTTTTTGAGGCTTGTTGGAATAAGATGAATTATGGGAAGTGTTGGTAAGAGGGGATAGGGGCTTTAGTGGTGCTTTATGAAGTAGTTTGCATTGATGTATCACACAACAATGAATTTAAATAATTCTTTTGACAGTTTGGTCTGGTTCACTGCTTACATGACTCCTTAATCGGCGATGAGACAATAGCAAACAGGGAAAATCAAAATCTTACCTACCCCCACCTACACGTTGCAGTTTTGGAAAGCTGTATTCTGGTAAATGGTTATTCTTAAGATGTGTCTTGTGCCTCTTTTTTCCTCCAGATCATCATCACCTTTAATGTATTTTATCACTAGAATCACCAGTGTTATTAATTAAAATCATTCTGATAATCATGCAAGTGCAGGATTTTTAGCAGTTGAAGAGATATCATAAGATAATAGGCACTTAGCGGAGGGTCATCAGTGTTTGGTCATGTCTGCGTGTCACACTGTGGTGGATTAGACAGAACTGATTTGAACCATTCCTCATGTTGTTCACTGTGTCATTGGAGCTAGCTGCATTGGATCTGCATCAGTGTCAACGCATCCTGACTATCTGACTCGTAGTTGTAGAACGACAAAGTGCTGGATTGCAGGAGATTGCGTGTTTGTCCGCTTGATTATGATGTGAAATTGTTTTTGGCAGAAAGCATGCGGCCGTGATTGTTGTGTGTGCATTGTGTTTTTGTGCCAATGCTCATGGTCATATCCAACTGGCTGACTTCTGTCTCTTATCACCTCATAAATCTTGAGCCATTCACATCCACAACATGCTCAGTGTTCCTGTGTTTGGCATGTGTGGTTTGGCCAGATGAAGGCAAATTATTATTCACTAGTGACTCCTGGTGGTGTAATAATGCGCCTTCAGTTTATGTGTTTTTTCCCAGGCTCAACCTACAGTAGTGGCAGCAAACTGGGGCCAGATACTGTCGGCATAGAGTCAGACATTACAAATAAAGATATGTCCACAGATAATACTGATATATCCTCAAATGTAAGTCGCTTTGGATAAAAGCGTCTGCCAAATGAGTAAATGTAAATGTAAAATGTAAATATATATCAGTCAGGTTTGTTTAATTGTTGTATATTCTGTGCAACTTTACAATACAATACAGGAGTTCAATTTAATTTACTATTAACTGTAACACATAGTAATACAAGGCCTGACTGATACTATAGTTTTAGGGCTGATTCTGCAATTTTTTAATAAATCTAATTCTGTGATAGTGAAATATAAGCCAGTCCACTAAACTTAGCAAAACATGATGAAGGCAAAGCTTCTAAGTTACCCTATTGTGTATATGCCAATATACAATATCTGCAATAAGCCAATAATAGCTTAAAATTTTAAACAGTGAATGACGAGGTACCAGGAAATGTTAGGTATGAGAATTAAAGCAGTCAATTTAGCATGAGCTCATTTATGCTTAATGCATTTAGGAATAATACATTTGAATCACACACCCTAGCACACAGTAATATGAGAAAACCAGTTGGATTGACCTTTGTGTAACTTGTGTCTTTGAGAATAAATGTTTTTGTGTCACAATTCTGTTTGTGTAAAGCTGTGCAACATAGAAAGGAAATCAGTCCTGAAGTGGACACACGTCATCTTTGATGGCTGTTTAAAATGGCCATGGTATGTTTTGACTTATATTATAAAGTACATTAAATATACTTCCATCCATCAATCTTCATCTGCTTATCCGGGGTCGGGTCGCAGGCATTAAATACTTATTTATATTAAAATATTAAATTAACTGGAATAAAATTTGATTCTCCAGACCAGTCTGGTTTCCAGTGTTGCACAGCTTCTAGCCGGCAGTGAGTGAGTGCTTATACGCAGGTCAGTGTTTTCACACATCCCCTCTGTTTTCCTCCCCCTGCTGCAGTTTGGAGACTCTCAGCAGCTTCGTCTGGTACGGATTTTACGCAGCACTGTGATGGTGCGGGTGGGAGGAGGCTGGATGGCTCTGGATGAGTTCCTGGTGAAGAACGACCCCTGTCGAGGTGAGTTCAAAAGTTCACCACAAGAAGTCACAATGCGGGTCTGATAGATTAAATGCAGAAAAACCTGTCTAGAAGGACTGAATTAATATTACAGGGTCAACATTTCCACCGCTGTGCACTACCGCTATAGGTACGCTAGACAAAGATTATTATTATTATTACATGAGTGTTTTAGATACAGAGAAAATATTGTCTGTGAACAATGGGTGGTAAATGATGATTTGAAATCAATACATCTTCTTTAGGCTGAGTATTACATACTTATATGGTATATTACTTAAAATAAAGTCAGCTAATCTGTTTCTCAGTCTTTTCACCAAAATGTCATGGTAAATGCTATTAGTATTTCATTACTTGATATAATAATTCAGAATAACGGACTATAAAGGGATTAATATTTCCTCAGTTCCAGATCCATCAAAGGCTTTGGAGAGTTTAAGAGTCTAATCCTCAGTTTGAATATAAGTGGAAGTAACCACTGTGACTGTCTTATCTTTTCTTTTTCTGTCTGACGATATTTTGGAATCATGTCAATGGTTATTTACTTTCTTCTTAAAGTCTGTTCTCGCTATCTTATCTTGTGCCCACGTCTAGTGCAAAAGCTTTATGTACTCCGCTTCTCTCTGCTATCCTCTGTATTAATTATGAAATTTCTGTTTTTCCTGCTAAACCTTCCTCCTGCTGAACATGATATCATTTCTTCTAGTTCATCACCATGGGAGCAAAATGTTGCGCTCGGAATCAAACTCTTCAATTACTCAGTCTCCTATAGGTTGGCAAATCTCACACATTCTCACCTTGCTCCATGAACCCACCAGTGGTATGTGTGTCTGCACATCCGAGTGTGCGCTGCTTGTATTGTTTCCTGGTGTGTACTACTGTAGCTGTGTGTAAGCGCTCACCGTGAATGGCATCCTCGTAAACCAGCCCCGCTCACAATCAACTGTCATTCATGCATGCAGTTGTTGTGTGTGAGTCACGTCGCCTGCTGTCACTTTCTCTAAGGCGCTGTTTTGGGGCTTGATGCACCACATTAGCTCCTTTTTTTCTCTCTCTCTCTCAGCATGTAACAAGCGGTTCTGAGCCAAGCATCTCTTGCAGTTTGCAGGTTTGCTTGACAGTCCAATAAACGAAAACTCTATGAAAGCTTCAAGAGATGCTTAGGCCACTATATTATTACCTGTAAATATAAAACTGTCTAACCGTCACTGGGGAAGGTGATGTAGTTACCTCTATATAACACACACAACGAAACTGAAACAGAATTTACTGTGCCGGGTTCTTTGGTTGACAGTGTGGCTTAGTGATTAAAACTATAACTGCTATACTGTAAGCCAGTTTGTTTTTAACACTACTGCTGCAAGGTTTGTTTGGGTTATTCTGTAGTTTGTGTTTCCTTGGTTTTGTAGTTCTCCTGATTTGGGCCGTTTTGGTGTGGGAGTGTTAAGGTGCAGATATTTTTTTCACCATTTGTTTAGCAGCCCAAGCAAACAATGTGTTGCTAGTTGAGAAACAAAAAGTTTATTCCACTACTGTTGCAGCAGTAATTGGACTTTTGGGACTTTAGTTGGACAAGTATGGATGAGATGTGAAACTGCATGAGTCAACTTTTATTTGAATCCTTTGTAAATCACATCCCATCATGGAAACACTTTATTTTACACGTCTGTATTTCCTAATAATTTCCCAATAACTTATTTAGAAGTTTCCTTAAAACAACTATGTAACGTGGTGCTAATTATAGGGAAACTAGTGTTCTATTGTTGCATTTCCATTGCAAAGACTTTTAGTTGCCAAAATGAAATTGTGTGAAATTTCTAATTTCTAGTTTCTAATAATGAATTAGTAATAAATAAATACATATTGGCCTGGCTTTAAATAGAGCAGCTCTTTCTAAGAAATTGTTATTCTACCTAGATAGTTAGCACCAAATCACATAGTTATTTCTAGGTATTTATTTGGAAATCAGGGCCTTGTGGAAAATAAAGTGTGAACTCACTTCATCATCAACATAAAAATGCTAATTACATTATCACAGTTGTATTTATGCAATATGACTCATTTGGAGTGTCATTTCTTAGCTAAAGGCAGGACCAACGTGGAGCTGCGAGAGAAGTTCATCCTCCCAGAGGGAACCACTCAGGTGATGGCAAGCTTCCGCTACAGAGGCCGGCCATCATCCAGAGGAGCTTCTCCCAACAGATCCACCTCCAGTCAGAGCTGTGCAGTCCCGTCGAACCCAGCAGCGACCAGTACACTCAAGGTGAGAGGCTCCACCCTGCTGTGAGAGTTAGCTGTTGTCTTCCGTCACACTGTAGACTGATCATTCCCCACCATGATTTTCCTCTCGTTTAACTGCCTAAGTTCATGTAGTTTACATTGTTTGATTACTTTCTTGTTTAATTTTTTTGTGTTTCTTCCATGTAGTGTTTCTTGTAGTTTTTGATTTGTGAATCCATGTTTGTGTTTTTTGATTTGCCATTGTTCCCCAGACTCCCCAACACATAACCCGCAATTATGATAAGCCCTGGCTTACAAACAGCAAACCCTCCACTCCTCTTAAATCATCAGACTCCTTTGGGAGCCAAGGTTCATCCTCAGAGGTATAGTCATATACAGCATATGATGTGGAACGCTTCAGATTTATGACCCAAGTGAAATCTATAAAATATATATATCTATATCTATCTATCTATCTATCTATCTATCTATCTATCTATCTATAATTGCTAGTTTATATTTCTGATTGAGGTGATTTCCTTTTTCATGACAGATCTGGAAGATGTTGGTTTTATGTGTGATTTCAGTTGGGTCTTTACACTTGAACTTATTTGATTACTAATGGGCTGAGTATTTAATTCTTGCCTAACAAAAATGTCTGTCTTTAGATGTAATCTATGCATGTACTTTTTAACTACAGGTTTACCATATAATTTGAATACTAACTGCTTCTATAAGAGATTCACCAGTAAACATTTTGAAATGATTTTTCATAATGTTTAAAACTAACTCAACAACATTTATTGTGTTTTCTGGTACAACTTGTTATGTACTTCAATTGGTAAGGGCCAAACATTTCTAAAACACTGTCTTTATACTGTGCAGTTAACTGTCATTGATCGACAAATGAAAGTAATCGAAGTTCTGTCTTTTGTAGGGTACACCAGTTCAAGGCAGCAAGTTACGTCTTCCTGGGTACTTGTCAGGTAAAGGATTTCAGTCTGGTGAGGAGGGAACCTTGATCAGCGCTGCTGTACTGAAAGCTCGAACACAAACAATAGGTGGTGAGTAGACAGCAACTTCAGTAACTATTTATTATATTTTGATGTTTTCGGCCGACTTGCAGCTCCTTAAATGTGTGTGAGTCAAAGAGAATTCAAGGAATGAAAACAATTTTGCTGCTGTTGAAGAACAAACACCCTTTTTATATGTTTAGACAAAAAAGCATGTTGAGATTGCAATATCCTTTTCAGGGTTGAATTGTAGTCCGTAGAAAATGATACATGAAGCATGTGAGATGTCACCCAGAGGTTTTACTGCTACCTGCATGGGCCTCATGCCAGCAGTAAATAATCACTGGTAAAAGATCAACATTAAAACTCTATCAGAAGTACAACACAGTATTTAATCTAGTAAACATATACACAAAGCCCACAGTATGTAAAATGAACAGTTAGCTCATTAGTAAATCAACAGTTAGCTAATTAAAATGTTATACCAGCAACACATTAACCTCAGACAGCTAGCATTATTTTAATGGCTAGCTTGTTAGAACTAAACTGGTGGCAAAAATATAATAAATAATATTTATTTGTCATAGCAACTGCTATGGAAGTAACGGTTGCTACTGGCACAAGAATGGCACAGCTGAAACCAACTGCCAGTGGCAAAACACTGATACCTCTACTGTTAAGGCTCACATTATTGTCCTTGATTTTATCTTTCTAGAGTCGAGAAAAAACTCCAGCCGACCTGGAAGTAAAGCCGGGAGCAGAGGGAGCAGTCGCAGAGGGAGCGACGCCTCCGACTTTGACATCTCAGACATCCAGTCTGTGTGCTCAGATGTGTCCGAGACAGTTGGTGACTCGACCCGGGCAACGTCGCGCTCTGCGTCCCGTCAGCACGGAGGAAAACCCTCCAAGATCCCCACTCCTCAGAGAAAAACCACTCCTACAAGCAAACTGGCCAAGGGATCCAAGCGATAGTCAGTGGCCTTGAAAACAAACAACCCAGGAGCTAGTTGCACCCTAAACACCGGACACTGGAGATATCTAACTTAAAAGACTGCAAATGTGTTGAGTGTTATTTAAATTGTTGCAAAGATGTAAAATATTCTGTTGAGAGGCAATATGGTTTAATATTATGTGAGAATGGAATGTTAATGGCCTTGTGTATTTGTTTTTAATGTATTTTATTTTTTTTGTGAAAAATGTCAAATTGTTTTTATTGTATTTTATTTTATTGATGCGCAACCTGTAGAGGTTTGACGAACACTAGAAAACCCTGGGATTGACTATGTTGTACGGTTAACTAACATTTCTAAACACACTAATGAAGGGCAACACGTGGAATAGCGAGAGTTACTGAATGTACTGTAATTTATGTATGCTGATGTTTGGAGTAGATGGTGCATTATGGTACCATTTGAGGCACTGCAATTATCTATTTAAGTGCTATGATATACTGCCAACATGCATTTAAAGGGCAATGCAATATACTACAATAAACCCCAGTAAGCACTGCAGAAACCTTTAAAAAACACTATTTAAGGCTAGTAGCAGAAACCTCGTAATCATGAAGCTTTTAAGTCCTGTTTGTTTGTGAGCAGCTGAAGCCCCTTTGTTTGACCACTTCCCAGCAGTGTGAGCATTGACCTTGAAGAAGTGCCACTCCATGTAGACATTCTCTTGTGCATCTATGTCAATGTATGGTTAATTTCGGTAGAGCTGAAATTGTTACTGTAACATTACTTTGTAATAAACCTGCTTGCAGAAAACCACCAGAGACGGGTGTGGACCACAGAATCTTTCTCTGCTTTGCTTGTTTTATCTTATTAGCCATGCTAGCAGCACAGCTCTAGTAATGTCAGTTTGTGGGTTGGTCACTTGGTCCACTACTTTGGTTCAGACTGAAATATTTCAGCAACTATTAGATGGATTGCCGTATAAACATTCATGGCTCCCAAAGGATGAATCCTACAGACATTGGTGATTCCCTGACACCTCCTCTAGCACTGGCATGAGGTTGACATTTTAGGGGTTTTAGTGAAATATCTCAACAATGTTTGGATGGATAGCCATGAAATTTGCTACAGATATTCGAGGTTCCTCGGATGGTGATGGACTGACTTTTCCTGTAGCGCCATGAGGTCATTTTCAAATTTCACATAGTAACGTTACTATCATCAGGTCAGAATCTTCATTTATTTGTTTAATAGGACTACTGGTTTATGATCAAATACCTTAAAAACTAATAAACCTCCCCTCTGTCGCTGCTGTACTTTGTGTCAAGTGCTAATTAGCATATGTTAGCATGCTGACAAACATGGTAAATATAGTAAACTATGCTAAACAGTGCGTTAGCATTGTCATTGCGAGCATGTTAGCCCGATGATAGCCTGTAAACTCCAGTCTTATTTTCTCTTCATGTCTGTCCCTTACCCTATGTCTCTATCTCCCATGTTTCTGTCTTTCATGCTGCTGAACGAACGTAATTAAATGGGCTTTAAATGTTGCTACAATGCTTAACACAAGTTTAAGAAAGACATTTATTGGGTAATTGGACAATTAGATAAGCAGTCTCTTACACAGTAAAATGATCAAAAACTCGCTTGAATTATAAAACTTTAAAGACTTTTTTTCCCAATTTGTATTCATATATTGATCCTGTTATCTACTGTGTATTTGTGTTATCCAGCAGTCTTTCCCAAACATTTCCCTATAGCCTGATTATTAGATGCAGTGTGGTGGTTTAGGTTGAAGGTGTGGTCTACTCTGGGTGGAATGTTTGGAGAGCATCTTGTGTTTAGCTGTGACATACTACATCTTTCTCTCAGTGAGCCTCTGCACATGATAAAACACTGTGTGAGTATTGTAATGCAATCATAGAAGTTTCTTCAAGAGTCCCCACACAAGTCCTTTTTCTAACCTGTGGATGTGTAAACTGTGTAAAGAGACACTGCACAGTGTAACACAAAAACTTGTTTTGACAGCTGCATTAAACAAGACTTGGCGAAAGTATAGGCTTATTCTTCAACCTTGCTGTGATTTTCTTGCTTTAACCTACATAAAGGGCCTTAATGTGATGACTCAGATATACTGGACTTGTACTGTAGGTGTAACTGGCCTATGAGAAGAGACAGATCCCCTGGGGACCAAAGGTGGAGTGGAGCTCAGGGGTCAGGCTCCTGTGAGACCCAGAGCTTCTAGTTTGAATGGTCCTCCTGTTCAGCTCAAACACTGGCCCGGGGATGGCACTTTAGAGCGGGATATATCCTCACACCAGGAACTGGAAAAGATCCATCTGCAGGAGCCCTGGGACTTTCTTCCTCAGGAATATGTGAGTAATTACAACATTTTGTGTAATTCTCTTATTTTTAAATACATTTTATGAAGGCAGTTGGAAAATAGATGGAACAGGGTTATGATGTCAGGTTGCTAATGAAACAGGACAATGTAGTTTGATGAGTTGTGTATGTTACCTAAAGATTAGTGTAACTGTTTTCTAATTTGGTGAAACTTGATAATGTTTGCATGCAAATAATACTTTTATAGGAAGATAATCTTATCATAGAATATTGTTTTAAAACTTTAGTAGTCATTTTTTATAAAAGTGATAAAAATATTTGATATTTAAAAGCACTTAAAAGGATAGTTTCACTAGTTCTGATTTGGTATTAGGTTACACCATAAAATGTAGTTGGTCAATAATGTTTTTTTTTCTTTAAATTTTTCTAAATCTTTAACATTCATGCATAGAAATGTATAATCTATGAAAAGACTAACTTCTATTGAACAGCCTACTGTATACCCAAATATCAGTTAATCGGATTTATTGAATTACTGACTCCTTTAATTGCTGTACTACAGGCACTTATAGCCCCTGACTTCAGACATTTGAAAATGCCAGCCTCCAAAGATAAGTTGGTGTTTGCAGCACTCTTTGCCATCTTGGGACTGACCCAGTGTCAAAAGTTGCCAAGTAAGTTTGACATTTTTCATATTTGACGACTACAGCATATTTCCAACGGCATAAAAGACTAAAACTGGATCATGGACCTACAATACGCTGTGTCTGTAGAGTTGTGTGAGGCTTGACTTGATATAAATGCAACTGATATCTTTGCCAGAACACTCCTGTTAAAGACATATCTACGTACCTCACTGATATAAAACATTAGTGACAATAATCAAATATCATATTGATTATCTGCTGTGATTAGGTTTTCTGGTTGAATACTGTACTACCTGACAAGACCAGCAGATGCCAGTGTTTGTCAGCTCATAGTCCATTGTTTGTCCTCACAGCAGTTGATCCAGTGTTGTATTTCATGCTCTCAGTGCCTCAGGTCAGAGAGGTCATCCTATGGTTAAGCTAGGACATAAAACCTTGAAGCCCTGAAACTGAGTGTCCCTCTTACTATGAATAAACACAATGTTTATTCAATCCGTCCTACCCACGGATAAAACGGTCCATCAGCAGAAATAGTAGGAACAGTTAAGAAAAACAATTGACCGTAACATGTATTATTGGCCTATCAACTGTAATACATGGCAGTGAAACAAGACTGCAGATGTTCGTCACAGACAGCAGGTGATTTCACAGAAAAATCTCTCTGCATACTTGCTCTCTTTAACAGAAAATGGGTAACTTGTTAACATGCCACAGTTTCAGGTTTTTCTACTCGAGTCATAACTTATGTAACCAGAATCTTTCACCAGCTTCCATCCACCCATTTTAATCTCGCAGGAAACACTACAGCCATGCTGATCTCATTCACACTGCAGCACAAAGCGTCCAGTGTTTAGAATTCAGTAGCCTGATCCGCCCATGATAGAAAATAAACAGCCTCTGATGTTAATGCGTTTAATAAATTACCTCATTGTACCTATGCCATTATTAATGACAATGAGTAATGCAACCATTTAAAAAATCAGTGGTATCAGTGCTGACATAAGATTTAGAAGCAGTCCAGCACCATTGATGCTGACTCACTGTGTCGTCAAACTAAGCTCAGTGTTTGTGCTGTGAGGTTTTGACCTGCTAGAGGAGTTTCGTGTGCCTGAGTCGAGAGGAGTGAGGAGAGTGGACGGCTCTCAACCTGAGGTGATGGCCTACCGTGTCAACCCCTCTATCCATCTCCGGAGGACCATGAGGTACAGTAGTAGACTGCCTGAGCCCAGTAAATTTAAATGAAGCTGGACAATGATTAAAGAGTAACTGAACACAGGATGAAAATCTTGTTTTTGCTGTGGTTTAACTTTACCTGGCTGCAGTGATTTAGAGGTGTACTCCAGGGTGCGCACTGTTACATCACTTTTGGGTTTTTTGGGTTACACTTCACAAATATTATTCAAAAGGTAACTTAATACCAGGCTGAAAAGCAGTTTTGCACCTGTAACCCCACCCAAGAATGATGTCACAGGGTCCTGGGGTCCTGTACTTCACTACAGCAGGACGAGAGGAGAGGTTTAAGCACTTAAGGTGTTCATATGTGAGCTTTGATAGCGCATCCATATGAAAGTGATGTATTTCATATCTTGAAAGTAAAACATTATAACACTATAGCAAAGTTTATCAGAACAAGTCCAAGTCCATTGATAAAGTTCTTAGTAATGCTAGATTGTTGGCTCTACCAGTTTTGGCATGGTGGTCTGTCCACCACTTTGATCCACACTGACAGACCTCCACGACTATTGAATGGCTTGCATTAGCATGCTAATACATTCAAATAAAGTGGTTAACATGGTAATGCTTACACTCGCTAAACATCAACATATTAACAATATTGATGTTAGCATGTAGCTCACCTCTGTGCCTCAAAGAGCTGCTAGCATAGGTGTGGTTTGTCTTATTTTCCTTTGAACTCATTCCCTGACAATGAATGCAGAGTTGCCTGTTGAGGTAAGTGAAAGTGTGCTTTGTTTAAATTGAAGAAACAAATAATGGTTGTCTGCTGTGTAATGCATTATGAAAAAAGATTTCACAGGTCATATGCTAATGTGGAATTTAAACATAAAATTCAAGAAGCTCTGTTTCTACTTATTCTTGTTCTTATAAAACAAAACCCCAGTGCTCCTACAAAGCCCTCAATTGTTGTTTTGTGAGGAAAGTCGCCTCTCTTTGATATGATCCAGCTCTCTAAACCTCCCTCTCGTGCCACAGTGATGTGTATCCAGATGGGCTTCCCTCCGACTACTCCGTCATTGCAACATTTAAGGTAACCAAGGACACTGGCAAGAAATCCTGGGACCTGTGGCAGGTTAGCGACCCCAGCGGACGAGAGCAAGTTGGCCTGCGTTTCCAAGGTGATACGCGCTCTTTAGACTTCTTCTACACCAGCCCCCATGGGAACCAGATGCTGAGGACCTTCCATGGTATTGAAAAATTGTTTGACGGGGAGTGGCACAAGTTGGCGCTGAGTGTAAAGGGCAGCAAGGTGAAGCTGCTAATAGACTGTGAAGAGGTCAGTGTAGAGTCTATTGATGAGCCGAGGCCAGTCATCCACCGAGGGTACACCTCCATCGTCAAGCGGGCTGTAGGAGATCGCTCTGTGTCTGTACGTTGTCAGCTTGGATTTTTACATCTCTAAAGTAATATTAAAACTTCTTTTGATTTGGGATTCAACTTTCATTTCTCATATAATCTCTTGTCTTTCTCCAGGTGGACCTGCAGCAGATGGAGGTGTCATGTGACCCAGAGCAGGCCTATTCAGAGGGCTGCTGTGAGCTCTCCAGTGTGGTGAGTCAGCTCACATTCAACATGGTTTCACTCCCTCTGTTG